AAAATGGCATTCAAGTTTTCTTGCAAGCTGTAAAACGGCCTTAAAGTATGTTTTCCGCACTTGCGGCTTGCACGAATTCCGCTGGCTCGTCGTTCGTGCAAATGCCGTTGCGTGCGGGAAAGTATAACTTTCCGCCCTTGTTATAGGTAAATAACTATATATCATTGTTCAAATGCAACTATACCTACATCTAATAACGTCTGTTTTACTTCTACACCAATGGACTGGAGCTGATTCAAGTCGACACTTGACCAAACATTTTGATACCATATACAGTGTGATTTTTTAAGTGTGCAACATATGGGGATTTTTTTTAGTAATAGCACAACCCAAATACAAACAAGGCCAAAAGTTGATGCATGTCTGATAATCATATTAGGTGCACTTAGAATGGTTGCAAGTCAAACAGCATACAGGGTAGCTCAAACAATATCAAAGCTGGTACTGTAAAGTACCCTTATTTTAAAAAAATCAGCAAAATGTCATAGAGAAAAGTTGTTTGGAATTAAAAGTTATGCCTAAATACCAAAACATAGCCTCCTAAGATTTTTTTCATTTTCTTTCGAAAAAAATCTATAATTTCTATATTTTTTTTATTTTTTATTTCCGCCCTTGAGACTTGCAAAAATTAATTAAAATCAAATCAATTTTACATAACTTAGTTCAAATTCAAGCATATTTGTAAAATTAACTTAGATTTTTAATTTTTTATGGAATCACAAAATTCATGTTTGTTGCAATGATATTCAACACAACTTTAAAATGTCGCAATTTTTTTTTTATCAAGTTAAAACATTACTAATGATAATAGCCATATTAAAAAAACTCTCCTTAAAGTGCAAAAGTTTTATTTTATTTGAGTAAATATTAGTAGAATTTTGATATTTTTTGAGCCACCCTGTATGCTGTTTGACTTGCAACCATTCTAAATGCACCTAATATGATTATCAGACATGCACCACCATGCCTTGTTTGTATTTTGATTGTGCTATTACTAAAAAAAAATCCCATATGTTGTACACTTAAGTAATGACACTGTATAGTATATAACGAAATAAACAAAAAAATAGTAGATAACGTCCACAGTTGGCAGATTATGTGAATCGGCCTTTTGAAAACCTTCCTTCATTTTAGCCATAGTACCTTTTCTACCCTAATTTCGATAAACCCTATAACACAGAGATCGACATGAAGATAGCAGCAATATCAAAATACTTGTTAAACAGACTCTCTCGTTAAATTAAAACCGAACCATAATAATAATAACAATAATATTATAGCGTTTTCTGTTGGTAAAACTCGTGCTGCACTCATGCAAAAATTATGTTCTGTTGGCAGTTTCCGAGCGGGTTTTTATGTTCTATTGGAAAACCAGGGCAATCAATTATTGCCCTCGTGCAACTTTTCCAGCACGAGGTCAGAGAGCTCGTGCCAATATCAGGGCACAACAAAAATGGCGTAAAGTGCCGAAAAGTCTGTGTATAAACAAAACAAACAAATTATGGATATCGATATTGATAAAATTCTATATTTTTTATCTTCGTCGAGCGACAGCGATGAAGAGGAAGAATTATTAGGTCTGTTTCTGCAGAAATCACAAACCAGTCAGAGTGAATTTCATTGGTTGAAACTAGTTTTCTGACTGTTTCTGACTGTTTTCAACCAATGAAATTTACTCTGACTGGTTTGTGATTCCGCAGAAACAGACCTATTATTATTATATACAATCGCAGGCCTATGATGTATCATTTTCTGTTATTTTAACAGCAACGTCAAAATAGAGACAGAAATAGATGTTGAGCCTTAACACAGACGTTGAAATAACAGGACAGGATACATCATAGGCCTGAATGTTTGCCAGGGATAATGAGATACCAAAAATTCAAAATTTTATTATTGAAATTGACATAAAAACTAATTTCAACGCAGGTATCATTGGAATTATTTCTGCACATCTCGGGAGACAGCGTAATTATGTACTTTACATACAGGAAAAACTTCCGTTTTCAACTTTTTCATACACACAAACGTTTTTAATTTTTATTCCATTGAAAATATCTTTAGGTTAGGTTAGAGATCAGGGATCGTTAAATAATAAATTTGAAAAGAATGACAAAACGCCCCAAATTCATGTTCTTTTGGGATTGCACTAAACGTGAACTGATTCAGTGTTGAGTGCAGAACTCGGACAGCACGAGTTTTACCAACAGAAAACGCTATTAATATCAATATTCTTTATTGCCAACAAAAATCGCAAAAGCAACGTCCCAAGAGGCTGATCCAAGTAGCTAGTAACGCCACTGTACTTGCGCATGCTAACTCATTACGCATTGTGACGTCAGACAGCGCTTCGTGCGTTTAAAGTTTAAACGAATATCAATATTTCGTCTCCGTTTTTCTCAATAGAAAGAATTTTCTGATTTTCGTAAAATTTTGTAGATTTACTTATGAAACGATGCTTAATAATTTGATGATGGTTAAACGGATTTTTTTTTATTTTGTGAACATTCCTATTATTAATTGTTAGCGCCATTTAATTTCAATTTAAATTTCGCGCGATATTATGCTGGATGGCGTTGACAGCAGTGACATTTTTGAAACTCTTACTGGACAGAGGAAAAGGGGTTCATTAAAAAATATAATATAGAGTTCATGTGGTTGTTAGAAACTAGTTAGAATTATGTAATTTTGAGTCGAAAATAAATACTGTGTTGATTAAAATAAGTTTACTTTATTTATGGAAAAGTGACCAGCCAGTATCCAACATAATATTAAAGTTGCTGCAGATAGGCAGAGAAAGCCAATAAAAAATAAACCACAAATTACAGATACATATATTTTTCTGTCAGATATTTGTGAAAAACTATACCGGTATGAACCGTTAAAACCGAAATTTTGATGGGAACCGAAGCCAAATATCTCTCGTAAAATCGGAACCCCAACGGCACCGATATATGTAATGACAGTGTGGACCGGAACGGTACGGATATGTCACTTCGGTCCGGGTCCCTGCTACACAGGATTGCTTATCGGCCTCATTTTTGGGAATCGCGGCCATATTGTGAAGCACAATTAACGACGTCATCGACTACGTCATCAGCTGTTTGCGCGAGCGAACGTTGTTTAGAAGAACATACATTAAAAAGTTCTCGTACCTCTTTATAGTTCTCGGACACGAAGACTCATAAATCCTCCAATACCTTATTTTGTTTAGATTTTGACAGCTGTTGCGAGTTGAGTGATCTAACCCAACGTTTTTTGCTTGTTTTAACTTTCATTTATCCTGAAGATTCCTGAGCTTGATTAATTTTCCCTTGGTCTTTTTTAAGGAGGAATTATAAGGAGTTGCTATTTTTGCACACATAAATGGAGCGTAAACTAGTTTTGACATAGCATTATAGCGTTAATGTAAGGCATCCGCTAAGTTCCGTTAGATAGCAGGGTCCGCTAACGCTTATACCGTAAGAACTGTCACGCTTGTCAAATAGCGTTACGGTATTTGAAATTTGGACGGCACGAGAACTCTCTATTTACGATGAAATAATTTTTTTAATTTTGATTAACATAATGGGCAAAGAGGAAGATGCAAACGAGATCTAAAAATACGTTGTTTTAGGCCCGGTTTATTTATCTTCAGAAAAACTGGCTGGTAACTATCTGCAAAATAAATTTACCGTTCTATAATTCTATTGGTTGGCGGATAATTGGCCGACCAATGGGATTACAGATTGCGTTTTTATCCGTCAAATTGCATGCCTGACAGTTTATCAGAAGGTGAATGACGCCTTAGAATAAATTATGGCTGTTTGCTCCCCCTTGACGTAGGCTGTTTGCAAGGATAATACACACCACTACTACAGGATAGCCTATCCTCATAATGCCTGTGTGGAACAAATCTGAAGCCCCCCACTACGCAAAATCACCAGTTGTGACCTAGGCAGCATGTCTTTTCTAGCCTTGACTTAGGCTGTTTGCACTACAGGTTATGATTCCGCGGGCGTTTGCTTTATAAATACTTGGTTTTACTATATTAATTAACATTCTAAAACAATTCTTTTTTAGATCTCGTTTTCATCTTCCTCTTTGTCTATTCTGTTAATCAAAATTAAATAATAATTTTCATCATAAATTTAAATTCTAACTACGACCGATAGTGCAAACAGCTGACGACTTAGTTATGACGTCCGAACTGGTGACACACCAATATGGTGGCGATTACCAAAAACGAAGCCGATAAGCAATCCTTAGGGCGGGTATCATGACACTATTTTGACAGATAACTAAAAGTTAACTTCTGGAATCACTATGAGAAGTAATATCATTCCAGAAGTTAACTTTTAGTTATCTATCAAAATAGTTTTATAATAATACCCGCACCAAGTATACATAAAGCAAAACTTCGCGGAATCATAACCTGTGGTGCAAACACCTTACGTCAAGGCGAGAAACGACACGGTGACACGTCATCACCGGTTCTTTGGCGTGATGGGGGCCTTGAGATTTGATCTACGCAGGCTTTATGAGGATAAGCTATTCTGTAGTAGTAGTAGTATGTATTATCCTTGGTTAGCATCACAGGCGATGCCGCTGATTTTTGCTTCATGCATACTTGGTTTTAGTACATTTATTAACATTCTAAACGCAACCCTTTTTTAGATCTCGTTTGCATCTTTCTCTTTGCCTATTATATGTTAATCAAAATTAAATAATATTTTTCAACGATCGTAATGTACATTCTAAACTACGACTGCTGGTGCAAACAGCTAGCGACATCGTTGATGACGTCGACAATGGTGCAACACGATATGGCCTTGATTCCAAAAAAGTCGATTTTCGAACCAGTTCGGGCATCTCTGTAAAATTTCAATTGCCTTCACCTTGGAAAGACAACTGAGTTATTTTTATACTGCTTACCAAGTTATCGAACGCAGCCCCGATAAACCAGTGAAGTGACAGCCCGAACCACTTTGCGATCCGAGCGCCCTCTATTTTCTAGATTTTTCCCATAGTTTGTATTGTTTACATGTTTACACTCACAAAATTATAAAATTCCTGAAAACCTATAAATTTTTGTCTCCTAAAATTGAAAATGAACGAAACTAATTCCTCCGTTGAATCAATGGATGCAAGTGGTTCTTTAGATCATTCTCCGCCCTCTAGTCCAATCAGAACAGAAAATATACCAAGTGCTTCAAGCGAGGCTTCAAGTAGTAATAATCCGGTCTTTTTTCCAATGAAAACGCAAGGTACGAGTGCAAGATGCCCCTTTCAAAAACCCACAGAAGAACAACTACTCACTCAATTTCATATAATGGACGAAACAGTCGATTCGGATTGTTCTGAAGATGGATCTTTCAGCGACTCGAATTTTTCTGATGAAGAAATTGAAAAGATGCTGGAAGAAGCTTTGGAAAGCAAAAAACGGAAAGCTGACGTTTCGGTTGATGTGCCTTTCGAGGAACGAACCAAAGTAATATTAGTAGAAAAAGGTAAAAACCATTTCGATGTTTTGCCATTAGATTGGATTCAAGTGACCCATAACAGTGGAATGCCTATTTACTTACACAAGACTACTCGTGTGTGTACCTTATCAAGGCCCTATTTTTTGGGTCCTGGCTCTGCTAGGAAGCACGACATTCCTATAAACGCTGTACCTTGTCTAAATTATATAAAATCCATTGAATTGGAAGAAAAACTAAAAAATCAAAATATCGAAGAAGTTGAACAAAAGAATGAACTAACTAAAAACATGCCAGATGCAAAAATAGAAACTGTTCAAGAGAATATTGAAATGCAAAATATATCACCTGAACAATTGAGAGAATATTGCAAAAAATTGTTTAAATTTCAATCAGTGAATGTCTTGAGATTCAAAACTTGGTCGGAAAGGCGAAAATTTACCAAAAAAAGGCGTCAAGAAACTCAATTGCAACGCCCTACACTACCAGACGGCACCAAATTAATTACTTTTCCAATTAAAACATTGGAAAACACTGAAAAACCCAACCAGTATTCAAAAAGAGAATGGATTATGAACCCAAATGGCAAATCTTATGTCTGCATTTTACATGAATACGTACAACATGCTTTAAAAAAACAACCCAGCTACGTTTTCACTGAACTGGAAAATGCTGCAACTCCTTACTCCGCCACTGTAAAAATTAATGCAATGAAATACGGCGTAGGTTATGGCACAAGTAAAAAGCAAGCAAAATCAGAAGCTGCAAAATTAACTTTGGAGATTCTAATACCAGAAATGAAGTCCAAAATAATTGCAGATACTCAATCTGGCTGTACAAAGAAGGATAAAGACCAAGACTTGTCGTTTTTTGACGAAATATCAGTGGAAGACCCTAGAGTGGCTGAATTTTGTGCCAAAACAACAGAACCTGCTCCCTATGACGTTTTACTAACATGCCTCACGCGCAACTTTGGCTTGGACGATTTAAAAATCCACTATCAAGGCAACACCTCTAAGAATCAAGGCAACGAGTTCATAATGACGGTAGGCAAACACACCGCTCAGGTTGCTTGCAAAAATAAACGAGAAGGCAAACAAAGGGCCTCCCAAGCAATTCTACAAAAACTGCATCCCAGCATCAGGACATGGGGTTCCTTGCTGAGACTTTACGGCAACAGATCAGTGAAAAGTTTCAAGGAGAAAAAATTGGAGGAACAGGAAATTACTTCGTTGCAAAGTAAAGCTGCCGTTAATCAACCCAATCATGCTATTTTGAATAAGTTGAGGTTGGAACTGGGAAAATTGAACGAAAAACGGAAATCGGTGCAGCCTATTGGTGTTTTTAAAGCCACTATCGATAACACCTAGTTGTTCATTTAAATTTAAAATATTAATCATAGGTAGATAGATATATATTTCTAGTTCCTTTAGTTATTTACAATAAATACTTAATAGTTATGTGGGATAGAACTTGTCCATATATCTAATATTATATAAAAACAGGAGGACAGGGTTTAAAATCTAAAATGTACAATAATAAATAAAAAAATAAAATAAAATATCACAAAATAATTCGTTTTTTTTTGTTTCTTTTTTCTTCAAAATTTATCCTCATTCTTTAAGGGAATAATAATAGGCTCTAGATTCACGAAAACCCCTTACATTTTATTGTACTTCTTTTGGTGTAGGTAATGAATGATTTTTAATGAATTTGCTAGAGTATTCCAAGAATGTTGTGTGTTACGTTTTTTTTGTATGTATGTTGCTTTTTCTGTTTTAAGGTTGTTCTTGAATCTTGATTTTCAATGGCAAATTTTATACAGTCAAGAATGTACAGGTTGAATCTGACAGGATTGTTTGATCCCAGCTCCTCCCCACCAAACTGTATATCAAACTATTTTTTTTTTTTTTTGGTCTAAAGTTTATTAGCTGCATTTTTTCAATGATCATTTGAAGATTATCTGATGTAAACCTCAGTTTTCCAGTTGTTGCAATGTTAAACTACCTCTTTTTTTTGCTTCTTCTTGGCTATTTTCGCTAATTAAGAATATAAGATATTCTTATCGTCTGGTGCAAAAGTATTAACCTCGTTCCTTATGATAGGTCTGTTCTCACAGAAATCACAAACCAGTCGGAGCAAATTTCATTGGTTGAAAATAGTCAGAAAACGGTTGGTTTGCGATTTGCACCACTCAAAAAGATTCTGACTGGTTTGTGATTTCTGTAAGAACAGACCTGATATTTTCTATCTAGTTTGTGTCCAAATCCGTTTTGTCTACCTGATTTTGTTTGTAAGTAATTAATTGGTTATGTATGACCTTTTCTTACCTTTATTGGATAAGAGGAAAATTGGTCTATAATTTTTTAGGTCGTTTTGTTCTCCTTTTTTGAAAATTGGTTTGACTATATAGCTATTTTCAATACTAATGGAAAAACTCCTGCAGTTAAGCACAGATTTACTATGTGGGAGAGGGGCACCGCCAAACGAGCCGCTGACTCTTTAAACAAGCATATTGGTATCTCATCGTATCCACATGATTTTTTATTTTTAGGTTTCTTGATAATTTCCATGATTTCCTGAGGCGTTACATGATTTAGTTCCATGCTCTTTTTAATAAAAGATACTTGCAAGAAGATGCTTTGTTGTCATTTATGTTAGGGCAAATGTTGATATAAAAGCTGTTTACTTGATTTAGGAATTTTTTTGTATTGTCATTTTAGAAGTTCTCAAATAGAGATTCTATGGTTTCAATCTTTTTCGTGATTTTTTTTACTAAATTCATGTTGCTTTTGTTTTGTTGTCTGCGTTTTGTATAATTCTTTTGTTACATAGCTCTTTCGCAAGTTTCATAATGTTTTTTGTATATTTTTTGTACTTATTTTCATATGGTTCTCCATTCGTAGGTTGATCTAGTGTACGCCACTGGTATTTTCCTGTTCCTAGCTACCCCCTCAACCTTTCCACGTTAGTATGAATTCAATCCTATGTACAGTTTTTGGATAATCATACAGTTTCGTATGTACAGTTTTCGAATAATCATACAGTTTTGTATACTTAGTACTTTTGTGATTTTTTTTTCTGTCAAAGTTAACTGATATATCTTTCCTTTGTTTTGGGAAGATAGTTTTATACTCGGTTTTATACCTTCAGTCATATCACTTATCTCTACCTGGAGACCTTTTCTTTTTTGTTTGTACAGGGAAGATCAAACCATGCATCATTGCAATCTCGCGAACATAGCCGCGAGGTGGCCGACTTGTCGTTATAGTATAGAGTTTGTCTTTTGTGAGTGGACGAATAAAAAGTTTGTTAAATTACCTTAACATTGTAGATTTGTAGCTTAGTGTGCCTTCATTTTTCTACTAAAGAGATAGATTACCTAGACACCTGGGTAATGTAATAAAATAAAATTGTTATTGTAATACATAATACATATTTATTAACTATACTAAAATAAATGCTTTGCTAGTACATAATATTTAAGTAGAATATAAAATAATGTCATGAAGATTGTGCCTTATGGTAAATCTGAGTGAGGACTGATTTTAGTTTGTTTAATTCGATGTTTACTAATAAAAAAAACAGACTGAATAATTAATGAAAACTAATTATTTTTGTTTTATAACACCATATACCGTAGGTACCTACTTTCCAGATACTGATAACTACTAACCTAATGCTAAACAACTATCATGGGAGTAAGGCAAATTGTTCAACAGCAAAAACTATGCAAAGTCTGCAATCTTCAAACTAAACGAGGTAACGACAAGATTTCTGGCCAAGCTCGAGTTGAAATTTTAGGTATCTACATCAATATTTCATAATATTAATGGTCAATTAAAAGTTAACAATTTTTAATTGGAGTTTTCCAATTTCATTCTACTGTGTAAATAAATAATTATTTTAAGCAAGGTAGCTTTTAGCATTAAGTTGGTAGCATTCATTACGTTAAAATAGGAAACACAGTTTCCCCAGATTTACCTATTTTGAAAATACAGTGCGACACAATTTGGCTAAATACGTACTTTACAGTTGATGTACAACTTAATATGTGGACAAAGGTAAACTGTTACCCAGTTAGGCACGTAAGAAAGCGACAAAAATAGTGGAAGTAAAGTGAGGGGAGAAGATACTTTGGTCCCATAGTATATAACTTTGTCTAAGTATCACATTGTACTTCAACTTTCAAAAACAAAAACACAAATATGCTACTTGGCCTAAGTAAGTGATAGTCATTGATACATAAATAAAAGTTAAAACTACCTACAAAGATTTCATTCCATTCAATAGTTTTGACAAAAGTGAAAAAAAAAACATTATTAATTATTGCTAAACAATCACATCCATATTTCTAAATAAAAGGAAGTTCCGACAGACATGAAATATTGCACTTCATATTATTTTTAGGATCTAATTTGGCTTGTATAAATTGTGAGTATATAATATAGGATACAAAAACAACTTACATTTAAAAGGTGAATATAAAAATATAACAAAAACCTACCTATCAGATAGATGGCACTGATTAAATGGGAAATAGAAAAATAATAGATTATAATGGCCCAGTTTAGATGTCAAATATGGAGTGATCCATCAAATTTTTCAGTAGAGATCCAGCCATTCTATAAAAAACACCATTATCAAAAAAATTCTCACCAAAAAAAAAAAAAAACAATGTATACTTACTTCTGTACCATATGGTCATAAATGTAGCTAGGCACTACAGTAATGGTGACAACACCATCAGCCTTTTCAATAATCTCCTTAATCTGTTTATCCTTCAATCCAATCACATTCTGCCCATCAACTTCCAACAATTGATGATCGATTAGAACCCCATTTTTGGCAGCAGAAGAATCCTTAATGATCGTAGTTATTTTGCCATTTTTGTATTGAAATCCTAAGCACCCAGTACTATTTTTGTGCAAAGTCAATGTTCTCTCAAATGGCCTGTCGCGTAGTACAATTTTGATCCCATTTACTGGGCAAGCCTTGAATATTTTGTGCACCTTATCCATTGAAAATCCTGCAACATTTTGATCGTTAACTTGCAGAATCTGATCACCAAATCTTAGTCCTGCAAGGGCTGCTGGTGATTTTTCGACTACTAAGGCTATGAAAATGCCGTTGTTGATTTCCTTCACTCTCAGGCCAATCTGAAAGTTAGAAGTAAAAAATAATTTAAGAATGATTTGAGATGCAATATTATTTTAAGATGCTTTAAAACGAGGGATGAATTACTGAAACCAGGTGAATGATTTGATCTTTAAGTTTAAAATATGGAACCTTGGTACAAGTCCTATCACTTGCCTAATCAATTCTATATCAATTTTGGTATTCCTTAATTTGAGTCGTTTGAATGCAGAGATCCTGAGATGCTTCTGCAAAAACTGGAGGCTTGTGGACACTGTCCGCGGAGTCTGGAGTTCATAGGACTCTAGTTTGCATTTCCAGGTCTAGCACGAATTTCAAAGAGATAAGAAAAAATCTGGGAAAATCACAGGAAATCAAGTTAACCTTAAATCTTGTGAAATCTGATTTTCGACTTTGCTGATTTCCAATAAAGTATAAATAATGAGAAATCAAATTTATATCACATTCCTTCCTAAACCATCTATTAATTTCGTAATTTGATTTTTGACGTTTTCAGCATATTTCCTTGACATTGTATAAATCATTTTTAGAGCACACAAGTTAGGGATGAGGACAGGTGCCTGTAAGAGACCCATCATAAACGTATTGAGAAATGTAATGAACCTTGGAGATGCTTTTGAAATCAACTCCGAAATGCGAAAAGACGTCTTTTCGAATCTCTAACTCAAAGGTTGGAAGCATCTGGCTAAGGTCAGAGCCAAAAACGCATTTAATATTACATAAAATATGTATAGCTTTAAAAACCAGAAAAACATTCTCCGACATGTTTGTGTATTTTCAATGCCTATTATTCCTACAGGTTAAAAAGCTTTGTGGTTGTGGCCACCAAGGTCAAAAATAGAAAATGCAATACATTAGGCACTAATTATTGCAGAAATACCAGTAATGGCTGATAACCGCAATACTGTTGAGAGGTAGGAATTAAATTGAAAACAAGGTATGTATCAAATTTCAGTTGATGTTCAAAAATTATAAATTTTGTAAGTAACAATGTTCAATGTTCGTTTTTTTTAATTCTCTGCCATCTTAGCGGTCATGTGACATAAGTCAAAATCAAGATTAGGTACTCGCATATGCAGAAGCAATTACCAACAAAAAAAAATCTATTTATAAAATGTACGCACATTTTGGCGCAAATTGTTTACATATATTTGGCAAATACTACTTTACCTTATTGTCCTTGTCCTTACAAAGAACAACTTCCCGAACACCATTTGTAACCTGAGCTCTTTGTAGCCCCTTAGAAAGTCCAGAAATCGGCGCAACCATGCTTGTAGTGCCAGCAAGAACAACAGGCGACTGTTGATAAATGGACACAGTGTGCATATATTCAGGCATATTTTCTCTTATGACTTCCTCACTTAGTTCCAGTCCCATATAGTTTCCAAGTGATGGATAGACATGACCCACATCTGCGGAAGTGGCTCCTGCATTATAGGTGCCAGGGTTGTATAAAGGTTGGGTGTTGTATTCAGATCCAATCTGCAAGAACAATAATTATTTGTCTTCAAGCTGTCATAAGCAAAAAACTAAAGGTTTTGTCTGCAGTCTTTTTACCTACACACCATTTTTTTCATGAAATAATAATAATAATAGTAAGTACTTGAATAAGTATGTGTGGAATTGAGTGTGTAAATTCTCATTTTTAAAGCCTCAAGGTTTAGAACTAAGTTTTAAGCGAGTGGTAAACCTGGAAAAAATGTATTGTAAAAATATAAAAAAAGCGATGGGAAAACTACCTGGAAAGTTTACTCCAAGGACCTACAATTCCTAGGGAAGAAAAGTAATAAAAATTTTACAGAAGTTTATGGAATAAGAAATTCGTTAGGGAATCAAAGGTGGTTGAAAGAAGTTAGGAAGTACAGGAGATATTTGTGGGGGTTTTCCCACTGAGAAAAAGTTTATAAAAATCCTAATGCAATGGAAAGTTCTAAAAGTTTAGAAAAAATCACAAAAGGGTTCACAATATTTCCGAAGAGTTTCAAAAATACATAGGTACATTTTATTTGTTGGGTAAGGACTTTCTTTAAATATTGTACCAGGTCGATTTACATGTAAGATAGGTAATGTGCTATGTGTATGGGGTAAACTGTATAATAATGGGTTTTATAAACTAAATACAATACATACATTAATTTAAACATTCCTAGATCTACAAGAAACAGAACATCAAGAGTAAAATGTATCCATCAACATTGCTTTTTTGAGCAAATATCAGAAAGAACTGAGGAAAAAACAAAAGTTATCAAAGTCAGAGAAAACAATAATCAGATTAATGGTGAACTCCTTTCAATGATGAAGTAAAGGGACCAAATTTACAAACAACTTGTCAAGGACCATAATCATAATAATTATAGTCTAGGTTAAGAGTTTCAAAAAATTAAAAACAAAATAAACAAAAAGTACTACAAAAACTCTAGAAAACAGATATTTTCTGGGTAAATGGACACAGGCTGGTGCTACTAGTAGGAAACTGTGAAAAATGATCAATAGCTTTTTTGAAAAGGGACAGAGGGATGTGATTATTGATTGTTTGAATATGGCTGATAATAAGGTCATCAATACAATAACACTCCAGCAATGGGAAGAGTACTTTGAAGAATTACTGACAGAACAGCAGGCAAAGTTTGAAGAATAAAAGGAACAGACACGAAACATAAACACTGCAGGATGACCAATGAGAGTTATGCAAGAAGAAGTTAAAAAACACTGTGGCTTCTTGAAAAACGGTAGGGCACCAGGCCCAGGAGAAATATATGGAGAACTGATAAAGTCTGGGACCAATAAACTCTACAAACATTCAACAAAACTATTTCAAACATGCATAGAAAAACATCAAGTACCGGAAGAGTGGAAAATAAGCTATTTAACAACGATATATAAGAAAGGAGATAGTAACAAATGCGAGAACCACCGAGGAATTGCAGTAACAAATACGCTGAGCACAGTGTATGGAAAACTCATAAAAGCCAGAATAGAGAACAAGTACAAAGAAAGTGAGGCAGAAGAACAGGCCGGTTTTAGAGCAGGAAGATCAACTGTAGACGATTTATTTAGTTCGACCGAGATAATGGAAAAGAAACTAGCGTATAACCAAGAACACCACTTACTCTTTGTAGATCTAAAGAAAGCATATGACAATGTTCCGCTGAAAAAGCTTTAGGAAGCACTGGAAAATATCAACTTAGAACTAATAAAGGCAGTAAAAACACTCTATAGTGATGCAAAGACCAAGATTAAACAGGGAAATATAATCAGTAAAGTCTTTATAGCAACTAAAGGACTTAAACGGGAATGCTGCATATCACCAACATTTTTTGAAATATACTTAGAACAAGCGCTTAAGGGATGGAAAAACAAATGCAGACACATGGGAATACCGCTCAATGCATACAATTTATATACTTTAAGCTTTGCAGATGATCAAGTATTAATTGCACAGGATTATGATGACCTAGAGTACATGACACGAAAAATGATAGAGGAATACGAGAAATGGGGTTTGGAAGTAAATCTAACTAAAACAGAATATATAACTATTGGAGGTGAACAACGAAATCTGAAATTGAATAACGGACAAGAAATAAAACAATGTACTAAATATAAATATTTGGGCATGAAAATCTCACAAGAGGGAACCCTAGACGAAGCAATTAAAGATCGGAATATACAAGGACGCAAGGCAATCCCTACTAAATGTGGGACTGTGGGACCAAAATATCAACAATACTAACAAAACTAGAATATACAACACCATAGTCAAAAGCATAGTCACATATAGTTCAGCAGTCTGGCCATTAAAGAACAGAACCGGAAAAATGTTGGAAGCAACTGCAATGGACTTTTGGAGGAGATCGGCAGGCAGGTCAAAAATGGAAAGGATAACAAATCTGAGAATCAGGGAGATTATGGACGTAAAACACACAATAGTAGATGATATAAAGGACAAACAGCTGATTTGGTTCGGACATGTACAGGGTGAGTCATTTTGGGTGGGAATGCCGGGTACAGCCTAAACGGAGATAGATACAAAAAATATAATATACGTGTCGCGATCTATTTTTTTGAGTATAGTTTAATGAACCACTCAGAATTTTTCGGAATTGATTTGTTTTCGGTATACAGGGGTTTTTTGGAAAATAGCTGATTTCTGTTTTCCTCTGTATCTCAGTTATTATCAAAAATATTGAAAAATATTAAATTAGGTTTTTGTGTGATTTTTTACGTAGAATCCAGTGGCGTACTCGGATTTTTTTAGGGGTAATATTTTTTGAGATATAGTCTAAATTTTAACTTTTTTAAATGAGACACCCTATATATTTTTACATCGTTCAATTGGCTGTTTTTTTGTGATTTTAACGATATATAACACTTCATAGTTTTGATAACTGTCAAAAACTCGAAAAAATTATTTTTTTGGGGTATTTTTACTAAGTTGTTCTCGGTTGTAGCGGGACCAAGGGCGGCAGCGACACGGAATTAGAAAATGTGGTGGGATATGATACATTTCATCCTAAAGCGTTATATCGCTTACATGTCCCGCCACATGTTTTAATCCCACGACACTGCTTCTCCCAAGGTACCGCACTGGTGTGTAGGATCCTTCTATGAACATTTTTAGTAAAACAGATCATATCCAGTTTATTAGCTAAATATAAATGAAGGAAATCGTTTGTGACCTAGCAGACAGAATGGCTAATGTAAAAGTTAATTAAAAGGTTGGACTTGATTAGGATTCAAACCTTAGACCTCTAGATTCAGTAATCACCGAAGGTTTACGATTGTTTAACGAACATATTAAACGAAACACATGACTGGGTAAAAATGAACTGAAGACCTGAATTCTAGGTTCAAATCTTAGTCCAGTCCAACCCAAACTCTTCGTTAACTTTAAAGTAGCTACGTATTCTGTCTGTTGTGCCACGATATGGACTTTTATCACACTAGTGTAGTAAGAAAAGAAGTGGATTTCAAATCATGAAAACTTTCATTGGAAACAAGAATTTAACGGAAACGAACTAGGTAGATCAAATAACTCGTGAACCAGTAACATAAATAAACAAAAATCTAACAAATACCTACCTCATCAAACATACCTAGTAGTACTATAGTTAATAGTAAGAGCTTGAGCGTGAGCTAATTTTTCCAGTGGCTTAGTTAACAAAAAGTTTGGACCAAACTAGGATTTGAACCTTGAATTTCTACATAGATTACCAGGCTTAAGGTGGGTTTATACAGACACAACATAACATAAGAAATAACTACATATAACAGTCTTATTTCATGTGGAAACGGATCTGCGCATGCTCTTCCCTTGATGTCAACATTTGGCAGAGTATTTAACAAAATATTTAAAACGAAGCACAATTATGTTCATTTTGGTTCCGGCTTTTTGTAATTTTTTGGAATTCGTGAGTGTACTGAATTATTAATTATTAGAACTTTTAATTAGCTATTCTGTCTGCTAGTTCACAAACGATTTTCTTTATCTATATTCAATTAAAAAACTGGATATGATTTGTTTTACTAAAAATCTTCAATAAAGGATCCTACACATCAGTGCGGTACCGCGGGAGGAGCAGCGTCGCGGAATTAAAACACGGGGCGGGATATGTAAGCGAAATAACGGGATGAAATGTATCATATCCTACCCATGGTTGTCAAAGTGCCCGTAATTACTGGCATTTGCCAGAAAAAACACCTTGCCAGTAACTTTGTCAGTAAAGTCTTGGTGCCAGTTATTTGCCAGTAATTTAAATATTTCATCAAATTTGACTACTTTTTTGAAATCTAAGATTGAAATCTGAAATTATGTCTTGACCATGTCCAGATTGTCATAATTTTTCATTTTCGACCCCTAAACAAGAGAGGAAAATGTTTCTTTTCCTCCTACTACGGGCGCATTCCTTTTTTCTGATGAGGCGATGAGCAGTCTAGTATATAGGAATTTGAAATAACTGACTCATGTCATTACGATATGATGAACACAAATTTAAATTCTATTCAATGTATTCTGGTAACTAGTGAGAATGACCCCTCTCAAGCTCAAGCCAAGGTCTTTGAAACTTGACGTCATCATTTCTGATTTGAAAATGTGAATACAAAAACAGTCAAGACTTGTGTCTGGCTTGAAATCGCCTAAAACTAGGGCCTCAATTCGACTTTTTGTATTTGCCAGTAAAGGTGGAATTCCTTGCCAGTAATTTAATTGCTCCCGCTACCGCCGTGCAACGTTTATGTCTGGGATCGCTAAATCCAAGGAAAAACTTAGCTAAAATACCCTAAAAATATAGTTTTTTCGCGTTTTTGACAGTTAAAATCATTAAAACTATAAAGTGTTATATATCGTTATAATCACAAAAAAACATTCAATTTGACGATGTAGAAATCTATAGGGTGTCCCATTTAAAAAAGTTGAAATTTGGACCATATCTCATAAAATAATACCCTTAAAAAAAATCTGAGTACGCCACTGGATTCTACGTAAAAAATCAAACAGAAACGTAATTTACCATTTTTTAAGATTTTTGATATTAACTAAGATACAGAGGAAAACAGAAATCCGCTATTTTCCAAAAAACCCCTGTATATCGAAAAACAAAAGAAGTCCAAAAAATTCTGAGTGGTCCATTGAACTATACTCAGAAAAATAGATCGCGACACATATATTAGATTTTTTGTATCCATTACCGTTTAGGCTGTACCCGGCATTCCCACCCAAAATGACTTACCCTGTACAAAGAATGGCAGATACAAGAATACCCAAGCAAATTATTGAGTGCAAGCCAGGGGGAAGAAGAAGACGAGGCAGACCAGAAAGAAGCTGGAGAAGTGGAGTGGACGGAGAAATGAGAGACAGAGGCTTGGAGGAGGCTGCCTGGATTGACAGAGATGGTTGGAGATCGGGAATCGGGAGACGTAGAACATTATAAACCGATAATTATATATATGAGGTCATCACATATCCTATACAAATTAGTAAAAATCTACTTAAATGACTTGCCCTATGACTTGTCACAAGTGGGTGGGTCCATTATTAAAAACTTAGATCAGGAGATAGCTCTACTTAGGAGAAACATTAAGGTTAATGAAATAAACTCTGAGCACAATAAGTTCTGGAAAAAAATTATTGAGAGAAGAAGGACTTCCTTTATAAAAAAATACAATTTGGTGTACCAATTCCAGTATGGTTTCCTAGAAAACATTAGCACTCTAAGGACCGGTTTATCAGTGGACAGTTATCTACTCGGTTATCTAGTTTAGCAGTTGGTTAACTAATGATAATTATTAGTTAACCAACAGCTAAACTAAATAATCGTTCACTGATAAACTGGTCCTAAGTGTTGTTAGCCACAGTTTTTTTGCTGAATAAACTATAAAGCATAGGGATTTCTCCTGTCACATGTCATATAAGTACGTACTTGATCCCTGTGTGGGGGATGTGCAGTAAGGCCTGCTTTAATAAGGTACAAATTTTGCAAAATAAAGTACTTTGAGTACTATCGAACTACGACAGGTTATACAGACTACTTATATGAAAGATATAGGTGTAGGAAAGTTACATGTTTTATTCAACAAAAAAACAAGCATGTGCATCCTTTTTGAGGCTTATGTTCATGAACATCATAGTAGATCATGCAATAACATATACCAACGATATTGCCAGAACCCAGAACTAATTCATGACTGAATAATCCAGTGGCACATGGATCTGGCTAGAGTCTTTTATGGACTGCCAGACAATATTAGAAACACAAATAGGTATCAAAGGTTTGAAAAATCAATAAAAATACTATAGTAAAAAAGCAATTCAAATACTTCCACATGTAAGTTAAGTGACTTTCATGTATTCATGTTCATATCGGTTATCTGTAGGTATAACAACAAAACAACTTAAATCAAGTATCAAATCAAATCATTTGAGTGATATTCTATCAAACATATTACACCACACCTAGATAAACTTAAAATAGGAGCAGCAAAGACTGGAGCAAGGAGAGCCAATGTAAACACAAAAGCTAAATATATTTCGCAAAATTCTTACCTGTTGTTGGGCCTTATGAATCTGATCCACCTTCATATCTTCTAAACTCGGATAGATCGACATTTTGGCTTCGGATAGAAAATTTCTGAGTTAAAAATGAGTAGATTATGAGAAATACTATTCAAGCAATAAGACACTGGGTCATTCACCACAAACTGCCTACCAAGTCGAAAGTACTTCTTTTAACAAATTTGTACTCAATGACTCACTGTGCGTCACAATAGTTTAGATTACTAATGATAAAACCGCAATGTAAAACCTAGCATTCAGCAGGCTCAGTCAGTTATTGTTATAGATAAATTGGTACCACATGATCACACAGGAATGCGTCTGCCATAAATAAATAAAAATTAAAATTTGTTATTGGATAAATAGAAAAATGTCAACTGTCATTTAATGTTAATGTCATACGATTATTCTTTTTTTTTGGGATACGTTCGAGAACCTGATGAGCGGCTAAAGATCACACTGAAACCGTTCGGAATATCGAAATGTTGTGGCAAATGGCAAAATAAAAATCAAGATTTTCGGCCTTCGTAACGTTTTGGGTGTGTTCGGGTAGCACACTTTTTTGGCCATTTGGTACAACTCAAGAATCGGGTGCAACTCTTTGCTCGCGGAGCGATTCTCTAGCACTATGAAGCGCATGGGTATCTAACGTCATTTCGCTGCCTACGTCATCGTTAACGCTATGAAATGCAATTTTCAAGTAGGTAGGGCAGATTGGGCAGTCGATGAATGATAATAAGTCTGTTTCTGCAGAAATTACAAACCAGTCAGAGTGAATTTTATTGGTTAAAACTAGTTTTCTGGCTGTTTTTAACCAATGAAATTTGCTCTGACTGGATTGTGATTCTGAAGAAACAGACCTGATAGCTTTATCGACATTTTGCGCCATAGCCTCCGTGGACAGCGTATTCTGATCTCGCTCGAGCTATCTTTGTTGTTTAATGATTTTTGTCGTTGTTTATTGATTTTTGCCGGTGTTTATTGATTTTTTTTGTTGTTCATTATTTTTTGTTGTTGTTCCTTGATTTTTATGGAATTTTGTTGATTTTTTCTGGTTAGGTCAACAAATTTGAAATAAGAACAAACATCTTCACGTGTAATATCCTCGCATCTACACCACACCACGCTACGACTCTTCACTAGTTTTCACGGAGCTTGACAGCACCAACCTTGGACAGGACCCACGCTCTCAAGGGTAAAGGCGGTTACACACGGACGTGGATGACTGAAAACATGTACGCACATACATGAGCGCGCAAACAAAAACATCAATGTGTATGCAAAATAGCGTCGCGTTTTTGAATGTGCAATTTTATATGCACACTCGGAATACTGTAGCAAGAATAGCAAGACTGCAGTTTTGTGCGAGCGTCTGTACAAAAGCGCCATGCACGTTGTTGTTTGCACGTTGATGTATGCACGTATATGTATTAAGACATCCACGTCCGTGTGTAACCGCCCTAATACACACTACTACTACAAGAGAGCCTATCCGCATAATGCCTGTGGGGAACAAATCTGAAGCCCCCCACCACGCCAAATCACCAGTTGTGACGTAGCAGCATGTCCTTTCTCGTCTGGACGTAGGCTGTTTGCACTATAGGTTATGATTCCGCGGGCTTTTGCTTTATGCATACTTGGTTTTACTACATTAATTAACATTCTAATGGCCGTTTCTACCAACTATTTTAGGGGAGCCTTAACGATAAGTATTCCCTAAACTGACATTTCTCCATGTGAAAATGTCATTTTAGGGAATACTTATCGTTAAGGCTCCCCTAAAATAGTTGGTGGAAACAACCATAAAACAACTATTTTTTTCAGATCTCGTTTTCATCCTCCTTTTTGCCTATTTTGTTAATCAAAATTAATTAATATTTTTCATCATAAATTCAATTTCTATACTACGCCTCTAGTGCAAACAGCTAACGACTTGTTAATAACGTCAGAAATGATGACACACCAATGTGGTGGCGAGTACCAAAAACGAGGCCAATAGGCAATCCTTTGTAGTGTGTATTATCCTTGCAACGCTCTGGCATCTCCCCGCACCACAGGCCAAATAGCGTTTGCAACAGTATGCGTTGCATAGCGCGATAGCGTTCTCTCCGAACACACCCTTTGTGTCACTCTTCACCTACTGGTTCGCGCTCCGCAAGTGCGCTCCGAACACTTTACTGGCGACTAAAATGAAATTTAAATTTATTTTAAACAGACTCGAAAAAAGTGATATTTTACATATGTACGAGAGTACGAAAATTAATCTTCTGATTGGTTGATATTTGATAAAAGGAGCAAACAAGTCTACATAAATTAATTTAGAATAATTATAATTGAGAACCCATTAAAATTATATTTAAATTTGAATTTGAATTTCGCGCATCGCGCATGTCAGAACCAGAAGGTCCAAAGTAGTCACTCCAAGGCTGCGTTCAGATTGAACGTCGGGTGTCGCCCGAGCGCGTTCCGACCGTTCAGATTGCTTTGGGTAAAATTTACCCAGCCGTTCAGATTGTCAGTAGATTTTTACCGGACGTCGCCCGGGCGCACACTTTTGCATCCCATAAAATAGCAAGATAAAATTTGCCCCGCATGCGCGTTTGTGTTCTAACCTTAAATAATAAAGGCAAATATTGTAAATAATTATTTTTGCGAGTTATGGTGGGTTTATCTAAATTCTTCGTTATCCTCATCAACTCTATTTAAAATTAAGGTGGCCTCTTTCTTTTTTTTTGTTTAGTTTGTGATGCTAAATTAATAGCAATCACTGACACTAGCACATCCTCGTCGTCCGAAGATGAAGCGTCTTCATCATTCAATAACTCTTTAAATATGAAGATAATCTGGCTTCTTCCATAGTTAGTATTTATTTAAAAAATTATGAAGAAAACGGCAAAAATGTTAGAATCATTGAGGTTATAAAGAAATAATGCGTCTTGGCCGTTCAGATTGGGCGAATCGCCGGGCACACTCGGAGTGCGCTCTCTATCGGGTGCGCTCTTCACTGGACGTCGTCCGGACTCTTCAATCTGAACGCGCCCCAAGCCCGCTGGCGCTAGGCTACACTTTCGTGTTTTGTGGTTATATCATAGTCGATTAAAGGCGAAACACCAATCGGTTATATTGACAGATGAACAATGCATTTACCGTCATTTATCACCGATTGGTTGACAAATGACGTTTGCTTCATTGGTTATCTGTCAACTATGACCGACCGGGGTTGCGTTCAAGGACGGCAATGCTAATGCCAAAACCTACTTTTCCCCCTCCGCCTGTAATGCCGAACCACGTAGGTTGGAGCCGAAATCGAACGCAAAATGCCAATTTTGGCTTGGCTGTAGTCATTCCTGAACGCAGCCCGGTTAATCGCCTTTAATCGATGCATGTGTTATGATTTCATTGGTTATGATATCCTACATCCTACCTTATGTTCAAAATTAATATTTTAGATTATATTATAATAAGTATTTAATGAATTGTCGCCTTTCAAATATAACAATAGTCAATTCATTATCTCCACAATGCTCAAACCCCTATTCCTCCTAGGATTACTTGGCCTAATCCTATCGTTTTACCTCAGTGATATTTATTATAGTTTCCAACGTATCCTCAACTTAAATTCAAATAAACAAGGACCTAATTATCTATTTACATCGGAAGAACTAGCCACATTTGATGGTACCAATGGAATGTTTTTATATTTGTCAATTATGGGACAAGTTTATAACGTTACCGATGGCCTTAAGCATTATGGAGTTGGAGAGCCCTACCACTTTTTTGTCGGTGAGATTTTCTTATATAAAATGTTAGCAAAACATTTCAATGTAATGTCAATTTAGGTAAAGATGCTACAAGACATTTCATAACAGGAGACTTTGAAAATGAATATTCAAGAGACGATGTTGATGATTTAGATCAAAACCAATTAAGATCTCTGAATAACTGGTTAAAGTTTTATAAGAGCACTTATAAAAGAGTTGGCAAGCTTATGGGGAGATACTTTGACGAGTTTGGAAGACTTACACCATATGCAAGAGAAATTAAAAAACTTATAAAAGAAGCTGAAAAAAGTGAAGAAAGCAACCAGACTGATAAAAGGAAGTTTCCTCCTTGTAATATTGAATGGGATGCTGTAAAAGGCAGCCGAGTTTGGTGTACAAACAAAAGGTAATGGGAAAACATATTTATTAAAGGTACACTGTCTGCCAGAGTGAGACCAGTAGGTTTTTTGTTGCTAATTATCGAACGGGTTGAGGCTTGTTTCAAAATTTCGAAAATTGGAGGAAAATGGCATCTCTTTCATAAACTTGAAACATCATACCTTTACGGAAATGCTGATTCAATTTGCCTTTTTTGAATCGTGTTCATTGAAGAAAGGTGCAAAAGGAACACCCTGTGATTGGGTCAATCGGATCAGCGTTCCTGTAAAGGCCTATCAATTCAAATTTGCCCATCTTGTTGCAGTTAAATTTAGCATGTTTCATACATAAGGGGCTGTAAAAAGTATAGGTATGTCCGATTTTTCGATTATTTTTAACAGGAAGACCAACTCATATAGAACGCATTAAAAGAAAAAAATTGTTGGATGAAGCATGTTTGGACAAAAAAAAATAAATAAAAAAAACATGCTGCATTTTGCTCCAATCTAGACAACAGTACGATGCGAAAATCTCTCAATCAAGGATCTCGCATACAGCGTTGCCAGAGAAGGCTCCATTTCCTAAACAACAAGTTAATTCTCTGAATTTAAAAAAAAATTAAATGAATAGGTGCTCAGATTTATTTTTTTCCAGTCCCACACTAACCAAAACTAACCAAAATAAAACCAAACTAACCCAAATCCACCAGCAACTTGAAAAACCTTTTTCAAACATAACACCTTGAGATTTAAATTATTTTTGAGTCTTCGATTGCCCGCTCCATGTGCCAAATCTCAAAAAGAAGATCCTCGGAAACGAGAATCCACCAAAAACACGAAAAACCTTCCTTGTTCAGTTTTTGGTAAATATTGGTAATGATATGTCCACAATATTTTTTATCTGTTTATACAGAATTTTGTACTTAGTAGTAACTAAACTCCTGACATATTGCTCAAAGAAAGAGACTTTGCACCTCAATAGATAGCCACCTTATTTTTTCATGCCATGCCTACTGATATTGGAGGAGTTGTCATGACATAGCACAGGGTAATTTACAATAATTCTTGTGAACTAAAATTAGTTTTTTTTTTCTTTTTAGCGGAGGAATCGAAAGGACATGGGCAGGAAAACCTAGACAGTATTATGAAGCAGGAAGTAAAAGTTTCAGATGTGCTTGTATAAGTGAAGAAAATAAGGGGTTGGGCACGATTAAAGAATACTCTGGCTGTGATAGTGATTCAGATAGTTGTTTTATAAAGACTTGATTGTTTTTCAAATCCTATAATTAAAAAAAAAAGGTTTTTTTTTGTTTATTTTTTTTTACCTATTGAGTAATCCCGATTTCTCCTTAGAAAAGGCTTTATTTTAAATGAAGCAACAGGATCATAATATCATTATAGGTAACTTTAGCTATTAAATAACAATAACCATTGACTATTTCAAAATTAACTATTGTTTGAGGGTACAAATGCTCTTCCTGCCTGAGGGCCGATTTCTCAATAGCAAGTCACCCCCAGGTTAAGCATAACTCTAAAGTAAACAAACATTGCAACTGGACACGTTTACCCTTGAGTTAAAAGCAATCCAGAGGTGACACGCTAGAATCAAGACTCTCTCTAAAACAAATAATAGCTTGCACAGTTCCCTCAAACTAGCTTTGCACGCGTACCTCACAGCCTTTTTATAGAAGATGAGAACAGCAATCACCAGTGATTTAGTCGTGAGGCCCCAAAAGGGCAACCCATACCGCAAATGTGACTCCACAAGTGCAAAATGAACTCTCCGCGCAACAGACTTACCCAGCTTGCGCTTAGCCAGCCTTATGGCAGAACACCCAGATGATAGTTTATGACAAATATGGAGAATGTGAGCCTCGAATCAAAGATACATGTCAATAAGCAGACCCAACTTGCAGAGAATGAATGAGGAGGAGTATGGCATGTGCTAGGATAAACAAGACAAGTGGGCATATTGAAAAATTTTACCTTGAATCCATCAGCACAGTTTTATAGGGTGTTCGGAATAACTTGAAGAAAATGGGGATTTTGGAAACTATTGAAGATATACACAGTGGACCAAATGGGGAAAAAATTGCACAATGAAATGCCTACAAATAATTTGTTATCAACTTCTTTAGACCTCTTGCATAGACCAGATTTTATAAAACACACTTTTTTCTTTCATATATCCGTTGCTATTCCGAATTCAAAGAAGTTGATGAGATGACAGGTTATTTGTAGGCACTTCATTGCGCAACTTTTTCCCGATTTGGTCCACACTGTATCCCCAGGTACTTCAAGTTATCCCAGAAACCCAGTATATTAAACCAGGGTTGGCAATATTTGTTGCGCGTCCGCATCGCTGCATCAGAAAGCAACTTTGACAGCGCACTAGCGCCTTCATGCGTTTATTCATTTGGAAAAAATTTTATTGTTTATTGTATTTGCATTTAAAAAAAATAAATAGATATTTTCAAAAAAACGCGCCATTTTTTCAAAATAATGGGATTTCCAGTGAGATTTTTTGGTGGGAAGTGAAAAATTCGGAATTAGCGATACAAAATACATAAAGTTATCCTATAAAACAGAATCCGACTATTTTTTTCAGGTAAGCCCTTTATTTAGTCTCTATTGGCTAGAGTATAACCCAAGAACTTTGCCGCGCATTTTGCTGGCATTTGAAAATAGTTGGCTTTATGGAAGGCCGACTAGTCGACTTTATGGAAGGCCGATTATTTGGCTATTGACTAGTCGGCAAATATATTGCCGGTACATCTCTAATAGTAAGTCACCCCTAGGTTAAGCATAACTCCAGGGTAAACATTGCAACCGAACAAGTTTACCCTGGAGGTAAAACCAACACGGAGGTGACTCACAATTGAGAAACGGACCCCCAGAGGCATGTAAAATAAGAACTAAGAACTTCATTTTTGAAAATATATAATAAAATTCTTTAGCTCAATTCCAGCCACCACACCACAAACCAAGCAATATCCTTAAAAATAAAAAAATAGATAAGGCAGTCTTAAGGATAATCTTAAATTAGCAATGTAAGGCATTCTTAAGATTTTCAGCCAATTTATTAATAAATTCGAAAGTTTCCATGTAATCGGATCTTTTGACGTTGTTCATGCCTTTGATGCAAATAGCCAAGTCTTTGGTCATGAACCCAGATTCGATGGTGTCGACGCAGACTTTTTCCAAGGTATTGGCGAATTTTTCCAGTTTCTTGTTGTCGTCCAATTTGGCTCGGTGTAACAAACCTGAAAGGGAAAAAAATATTCACAAACTTGATATAAAATTGAAAACAACAAAAATTAGATTATTAATAATTCCACAATTCCAATAAAATATCAATTTTTCCATTACTAGTTGAAGGAAAACTTTCATTGCGATATTCCCAAAACTGCTTATTGTAATTGAAAGACATTTAACATAAACTAAAGGGCACCATTCACGTTGAGATTGGTATCGACACATGTTTCAAGTATCAGTATCTTGATATAAATCTCACTGTGGCTATGTTCTGATATCAACTGCCAGTACTGGATTTACTGTGCTTTGCCGTTCCGATTTCAACAGCGTATTCTTGTGGTCGTTCACTGAGTCGATTGAATCCAGTGTACTGAAAATAATATCGGAACGACATCCAGTAAATTCAGTACTGACAGTTGATATCGGAACTTAGCCTGTGTATTTGTCTGTCTCAGTATTGCTGTATCGTATCCGATGGTATCGCCATCTGTATCACTGTACTGAAACTTCGATACTGAACGCATGCAACTGATAGCTACTTGTTTCAACGTGTGTGTTGAAGTTTAATATGTATCGCACGACTAAGATATAAACCATGTTGTTTCCAACATGGAAGATCGTGAGTTTTGGGAGGAATTTTTTGGTTCTACTATATTCAATATTTGGTTCGTCGACTTTTAATTCTTGCAGTAAATTTACCACTGTATATTTGTTTCTTTCATGTAACCATTTCTTTGTCCATTTTCTTTTTTGTCTTTTTTTCTTCTTTAAAACGTTTGATAATACAACTGCCACTGCTACAAACACAGGTATGGGAGGCGACACCATTTTGTTTTCAAATGTGGATTGAACTGAACTTGTGACTGAACTGATGTTTCCTGAGCTCATCTCAATGTGTAGGAGCAGTTAAAACATGGATACAAATCTCAGATACATGTAGCGCTGCGTGTCGCGAAAAATGTATCGATACCGATCTCAACATGAATGGGGCCCTTAAGGCTCGAAGTTTATATAGAATCGGAAAAAACATAATCAAATAGAGGTTATTCCTTGTAAATTAGGCAAAAAATGGTACCTACTATATTTTTTTGAATTCATTCAATTGTTTTTTTAACGAATGCTCTTAATTTGTCATAAAAATCCCAACTACTTCTCTATTCAACACTTTTTTACATAATTTCAATCACCAGAAGTAGGTCTAGCAGTTAAAAATCACCTATAAACATTGATTTGTTGTATGTAGCACATTCTGAATAACAGCAGTAAAATATATGATTTCGAAAAAAGTACAGAACATTTAATTACCTCTAGTCCAAGCGAAGATAGAAGCAATTGGATTAGTTGAAGTTTCTTTTCCTTGCTGGTACATTCTGTAATGGCGCGTAACTGTTCCGTGAGCAGCTTCAGCTTCTACAGTTTTGCCATCAGGACAAATCAATACTGAAGTCATAAGACCTAAGGATCCGTAGCCTTGGGCTACTGAGTCACTCTGCACATCTCCATCATAATTTTTGCAAGCCCAAACAAATCCTCCTTCGGATTTCATTGCATAGGCCACCATATCATCAATCAGCCTGTGTTCGTACCAAACACCTTTGGCTTCGAATTGGGATTTGTATTCGCGGTCATAGATGTCCTATAAAAAAATTGTTGACAAAAATAATAAATCATTCAAGGTCCAGATGCGACTGTGAAACTCAAATCTTGAAAGCCCAGAATTAGATAATCAGAGCCCAGATTATTTAGCAACGTTAACCAAAACATTTTAAGCAGTTGCAATATGTTGAACAATATTATTATTAATTTTAATCTCAGGACATAAGAACATTGGAAAAAGAATAACATTTGGCTTGGAATGTCTAATACAGTTTGAGCCTAGAGGCTAGAAATTTCAGAGAGTATTGGAAACGTTAAAGAGTGGGGGCAAGTAGTGTATTTTGAAGATTTTCTAGAATATGGGTATAACACTCATCTCAGAACAAAACACTAACATGAAAAAACATTATTCAACATTTTCTTGGAAAATCGCACCAAATTATAGGATACTGGCTTAGTATGAATAATAGTAGTAATTTAGTAGTAGCAACTGGCAACTAAAGCAGTATTGCCTATCAAACATAATATCAGGCTGATAATTATTTACTACTCCATAATACTTTCTCTCCCCAGCACTTACAAACGCATCAATACCTGTTCACAGACTGTCCAACATAAATAGAATAATTAAATATTGTACTGTAGCTACCTGGAAAATATCCTTGAAGCGTCCATCATATTTCTTCAGAATGGTATTTTTGGTACTCAAGTACAAAGGCAGCACTCTATCCAAAGCATATTTGAATGAAGAATGAGCAAAATCGATGATTGATTCGTCAGTGTTGTACATAGCTACAAATTTACAAATTTTTAAAATATCCACACAAAAATATACAGCTCTTACCCATGGCAACACCAGCTCCTTTGTAATCATGAACTACATGGGAAATTTTCTCTCCATTCTTTCCTACCCAAGTAATTTCCAGTCTACCCGGTGCTGGCACCAAAAAATCAGTAGCCTTATATTGGTCTCCATGAGCGTGACGCCCGATTATAATGGGCTTCTCCCACCCAGTAACTAAACGTGGGATGTTTTTACAGATGATGGCCTCCCTGAACACTGTACCTCCTGTAATAAACAATTAATTATGGCTATAAATATTGTATTGAAATCCATAATGAGTTCTTACCCAAAATGTTTCTGATAGTTCCATTGGGGGATTTCCACATCTCTTTAAGTTTGAATTCCTCAACTCTCTTCTCATCAGGTGTAATTGTTGCACATTTAATACCGACATTGTATTTTTTGACTGCTTCAGCACAGTCGATTGTTACCTGAAAAATAAAGTTGGGTAAAGTACATTATCAATACATATTAAGATCTAAGAAAAACAAGTTACCCTTGAATGAACTGAATATGAAAAAGCTTACACGTAGCGATCAAATTTGTTGGGGCATTCCTAAAAAGATGTGGTGATGAAATTCAGAGTAGCTTGATAAAATTATTGCAGAAGCCAATGACATGAATTGACTAGCAGAGTAGCGTTTTCCGAGCGAGACCCAAAAAATCAAAAAAAAGGCCCAATAAGTTGAAAACTAGAGATGGGAGCACACTTGCGCAATGATAGGTTTTGATCAGAAGCTCAAAAACTATCATATGCCAAAGTGCCAGAAAATTTAGCCGGGACCCAATTTCCATAAGATTAGTGTGGGGTCCTTTTCTAGGGCTTTTTCTTTTGTCAGAGTTTTCAGATTGTCTTGTTTTATTTTTCTGGTTTTAAATTACGCACTTTTAGGGTTGAAGCGAACTTAAAAGCAAATTTTTTCCTCTTTCACAGGTAAGGTATCAATACTCGAAGGCAAATTTAAAAATTCCTTCTCAATTTTCACTTAAAAAAATGGGACCTTGTTTGACAAAATTGGTGTGTGTGTTTTCCAAAAATAGCCTTTATTCCACTATTTTGGCATATGAACCAGTTTATTTGATTGTATTGTTTGAGGTATTGTTAATGTCTTTAATAAAGTTACAAAATTTGTTATTCCTTTATTTATCTTTTATTTGGTCACTGATAACCTGGAAATTTCAGAATAGGGTGGTTAGATAAAAACTGAGAGAAGTTTAGTGGATCATTTTAAAAATACCATGAAGTATTTACTTATTTACTGTGCTAGAGAATGAAAATTAACCACTGTGTTGTAGAGTAACATTTTGGGGGAGTTCTGAGTTCTGTTGACTTCAACAGTTTTCATATTACAGAAACATTGGGAACAAATGAAATTTTGGAAGATGCTAGGTATTTTTGTAGGGTCCAACTTTCGCGATCTATTTCTCGGAATATAAATTTTGGAAATTTGGCAACATAGCAATGTAAATGGAGGCCATCAAGGTAGAATATTTTGAAAATATTGGCACCTCCGATAACCGGAAGTTCATGTTAACTAGCCTTTTTCAAATTCCATATTATTTTATTTTTAGATTCATATGACATAATATTTTATAGGGTGTCCTATTTGAAACATGCAAGTTGACATCATGATCCTTATTCTTGAAACATGGGAGCAGCATTCCTAGGAGAACGAGTGTTCTGTCTTTCTCAATGATTATACAGTGGCGGTTCCTCCATAAGAGCACATGTGCACGTGCACTCCCAAATTAATATCAAACAACTTTAAATTTAATTTTATCATTCTTCAAATTTTAACATTCTACCTGTAAAGTATTAATTTAAAAAATTAGTGGCCAAATGCGCCAGCAAAACAAACGCAACCGGCAACGCTGGAATCACAGCGTCCACCGCGTCGCCTGATCGCCCCCCGTTCACTGCACATTTCAATATTAAATCCAATTGGTGGAACTATGCCCCCCCGCACTCTTTGTTCCCCGCGAAGGTCTAGCGACGTTCGATGTTTTAAGCTGGCTGGTGTGCACATGTAGTCAGTGCACTTTGGGATCGGAAGCGCTTGTTTTATATTTATTTCGATTTCGAGCGCGATTTAACTGAAAACTGTGTGTAGAATGGCGGGATTTCTGAACCCCGATAGCCTTAGCGTGCAATATTTAAAAACAATTAAATTTTCTTCGCTTTCTTTGGAGGAAAAAATCCAAATCAAATGTGTCGGCCGTCCAAAGCCAAATTTAATAATCACCAACATAACAAAATGCAAAAGTCGTGATTATAAACGAACTTTTAAAATGGAAACTTACGAAAAAACTGACTGGTTGTGCGGTTGTGATGTTAGTAATAGTCTTTACTGTTTTCCCTGTTTGTTATTTGGAAGCGATGAAGCATCAGAATGGACAAAATCCGGCGTTAAAGATTTAGTACATTTATCCGAAAAAATTAAAAAACATCAAAACTCAAAATCACATCTTACTCTTATCTTTCAATACAAAACGTGTCTGTGAGATTGAAAACTATAATACATTTATGTATAAAAACAATTGTTAGACCAGGACGAGGTACTCAGTGAGGTAAGTTACTTTGTTACTTAATTTCTAGTTTATTGATATAAGATCCTTCAATTTCCACGATTTGATAGACCGAAAAAAGTATTAAATTGAGCTTAGTTGGTTGTTTGGTAGGGTAGATATGAAATCCCTTAACAATATTTTTAATTATTGGTAGGTAAACACATCACATAACTCATACGATCACTTACAATAAATTATTTTTTTAAAGGCCTAAAATAAACACTTCTGGGCGTGGCACCCCGAAAAATTTCGCGCCTCCGGCGGGCATCCCCCTTTCGGCATTTATTATGAATTACAAATTATGTGCACCCCCAATATGTTATACCACGAGCCGCCACTGCAATGATATACAACTGATAATAAATAACAAAGACGGAACACTCGTTCTCCTGGGAACGCTGCTCCCATGTTTCAAGAATAAGGACCCAAGACTTCCATTATAACCGAAGGCCGGAGATGCCGCAATCTTAGAAATATTTTGACCGGATGGCCTTCATTGACATTGCTATGGTGCCAAATTAACAACATTTTTCTTAGTTAATATTTTGAGAAATCGATCGCGGTAGTTCGTCATTGGACCCCTGTACCAAATTTTATTATTTAAAAAAAAATGCTGACCAATGGGATTACAGATCGCGTTTTGATCCGAATTTAAATTTTTATTCCCTACAATTAGTGACGTTTTGAGCATAAGGTGTGTGTTTTATACAGGTTTCTTCTTATTTATTTTCTCAAAAGACTCTTTGAGTTTTTCAAAAATTTGAGGGCTGAAAATTATATTTGTAGTTGCTTTATCCAATTATGCCAATTTTAAATAATAAAACCCTTTTTTTAGCAGTATTATTATGTAGATATTTTGTAAGCATACTGTCTAGACTCCGAGACAATGCACTAGTCACTTCCTGTATTTATTAGTTATGCATGCAGGAATATTTTTCGAAAGTGCATGTTTAACCTTTGACCCGAAGTACGATAATAGTGATGTTTTTAGATAAATTGAATAGCATAGAAAAAAGACGTTGAAAGTGATAAATAAATAAAAATCCAAATTAATTAATTGATAGCGATTTAAAAATATATAATGATAATTAATTATTTAAGATAACAATGCCAAGTTTGTTACTCAAGATTTACACACAAAGCCTGTAGTAAATTCTTGACGTAGCATTCTAATAGGTATTAACACAAAATAAGTAATTATTGTATAACTCAGGTAAAATACTGCTAGCTATACTAAAGTAGCTATCTGGGTGTGGTTGTGTTGTAAAGTCATATACCCTGGCTCAGCTGGCTGACTGCTGCTGCAGACAAGGGGCTATTGGAAATTTGAATCAATTTATAAATTATTACCTTATCATTGGTTTGGTCCCTGTTTTCCATGCCTAAATCGAAGACCTTCAGATCAATATCCAGAAATGGTAAAATTAGTTTTTCCTTGATTGCATCCCAAATAATCCTGGTCATTTCATCCCCAAGAATATCCACGACGGTTCCAGCTTGGATTTTGGTCATTTTGGCCTGGTCTCGCTAAAAGTTTATTTTACTGAAAAACTCCACTCTGAACGGCCAACTAGGCAGAAAGAGAAAGGCAAAAAATTAAATTATAAGAATAATTATTGTTGACCTATGTACCCTGATAACTGATGTGACGTGAATAATACATGATTCTTATCGTACTTACCTTGTTTACAGAAACTTGTTTATGTAAAAATTTATATACCAAAAAATAGCCGGGCGGGGCGGACTCACCAAAAAACTTTAGCCGAATAATTTTATGTTCCGATATCAACTGTCAGTACTGAACAATGGTACTGAATTTACTGGACGCGACGCCGTTCCGCAAGGTTGTTTGAGAGAGGTAGGTTGAAACTTTATGACGTCATCCGGGGTGCCTCGACATAATGCAAATCTCCATAAGGCACCCCAAACGCGTCATGAAGTTACCCATTACCAGACAACCAATGAACTAGGAACCTTGGCCGTTCCGATATTATTTTCAGTACACTGGATGCAGTCGATTCAGTACTGAATGACCACAAGAGTACGCTGTTGAAATCGGAACGGCAAATGACAGTAAAATCAGCACAGTAAATCCTACTGGCAGTTGATATCGGAACATAGCCTAAGAATGTGAGTACTGGCACCAATAAATTTCTGGTTAATCTGGGTGCACTAGTTGTATTTTTTTCACACCTAGGAGGAGCTCCGGAACAACTCCGGGGCGTTACGCGCTCATTTAAATGCATGAAAGCCAGCGCATCTGAGCCTTCCAAATCGGGGTCGACTAAAACCGGAGCGAATAGCTCTAGTGTTTTAAATTCTTGAAAGGAATAAAACTACTGCGTGTCGTCTGCTCTCGATATAACGACATCACTCTGCTCACGCCACACCGAGCAGCAATCCAAACACGCCCGTCGCCCTCTTACAATAGCTGGGTTCGGGATGGCCAAGCGGAGCTCGAGTAGAGTTGGAGTGGCGTTTTTATCACGTGACCAAAAAGCTTTTGGAGTGTATTAGTAAAACCGAACGGCCAAGGTGCATTTGGAGTTTCTTAACTTAACCTATCCCACAAATGACAAGTATTATTTTAAAAACAACAAACGTTTTTCGAGTCTTTTCTATGAATTTTTGGTATTTGGTGCCTATATTTGATTTTGTTGAAGACGTTTATTTCGGCGACTTGTCTTAAGAAGTCATCAAGATTATCATTGGAAATTTCAGTGAAATTACGCGTTGCTTGCATGTCAAATACGCAGTTTAAAATCCATTCCATTCATTTACCAGGTAATTACAGATTAAATATTGATTTGTTGACTGTCGATTTCGATTAGTCGATTGTCGCAATCAAAAAAATAGGATAAATGACACAAAATCACGAAAACGCACACAGTGCGCATGCCCGCTCCGGCGCTTGCTGATGACGAGGTGGTGCTTTCAGAGTCAGCTCTTTTGACTCCCGCACGTCCTTCCCGAACGCATGTGAAGTTACTCTTTTAGCTCAAAATGACAATACCCGAACGCATCGGGAGTGTTTATTGCAGTTGGAGTTTATAGAACAGTCATCCCGAACCCACCTAATACAGGCTGGGTTCGGTAATTGCATCGGCAAGAAAAATGAGCAAAATTTGACAGTTGTCACGTCATTTCACACGTGAAGAAACATATGTGATCACGTGACGTCCGTCAAAATTCACTCTGTTTGTTCGCAAATGCAATAGCCGAATCCAGCCAGAAATCCCGGGAGTACTTTGCAGTTACTCGGGAGTGCTTCAACAGCGGCAATACGACTCTGGGTGCTCTCTGGTACGGTGTATGACAGCGAAAGCCTTGATAAGGACCAGTAACAAATGAAAACGGATAAATTGAAAGGTCTTGACTTTTAAAGCGTTAGCACCACTGATCTAAAAAATAAATGGATAAACAATCGTACGGCTCGATTGGCTAAACTTGTGCGAAAATTTGGGGTCAATATTCTACGAACAGTTGTGCAACGGAACAGCCTACCGCCTGCGCAGTGTCTTATTCTTCGAGCAACTGTTCTAAATTTTGAAATTCCTTCATTTTCATTGGCCAGATTTTGGGCACGCACAGTACATGTATCTACTGCGCACGCCCACAGCTGTCCCAGTTGTTTACATTAGTTGTATTCCTTTTAAGAGTTTGAAACACTCGAGCTACTCGCTCCGGTGTTTAGTCGCCCCCGATTTGCAGGGAACAGATGCGTGGTGCAACAAACACTTTTCGAAAGGAATAAGCGCGTGAAGCCCAGGAGCTGTCCCGGAGCTCCTCCTAGGTGTGAAAGGAATACAACTATTATGATCTCGTAAATTAGCAGCATTAAGCCTAGTACATATAACTGCGAAATTCGCATTTTTTTGACATTGCTTCGACAATTTAACGTTTGATTCACGCATAAAACGTCAAATTGTCGAAACAATGTCAAGAAAGTGCGAATTTCGCAGTTATAAGTACAAGGCTTTAGAAGCGTTCTTTGTTTATCCATTTATTTTTGAGATCATAGTGGTTAGCACCTGTGGAAATTGAAAATCCACCTTCGCCAGAAACCCGATTTTATTTGATTGTGACATTTGTCAAATTTGATTTTCATTTTCTTCTGGAATTACATGTAATTCAAAAAGTTAACTTCAAGTTAACTGTCAAAGCAGTTTTATAATACCCACCCTTAGTTATGAAACCAATATGGCGGCGATTACCAAAAACGAGGCCGATAAGCACTCCTAGAGTGTGTATTCTCCTTGGGGTGAAGTTACTAAAACTACAATAATTAATTACCCATAAGGCTATTTTTCGCGACCTAATCGGCCTTTTTGGAAACGCTGATCCGCTCAACCCGAACCCGATCACCAGCTGATTTACTTTGTCTTCCTTCAATAGTGTGCATAGTCTAGGAGCTAGCGCATGTCACGTGTGCAGTTATATGTCCCTTAAGATTTTGTATGTGGCTTAATTACATCTATTGGAGCTCAAAAAAACATTGGTCACATGATCCAGATCCAAGAATAATACACACTACTACACAAGATTCCTTATCGGCCTCGTTTTTGAGAATCGCGGCCATATTGTGTAGCACCATTCACGATGTCATCAACTACGTCGTCAGCTGTTCGCGCCGGCGCGGCGGTCGTCGTTTAGAGAATATACATTTATGATGAAAAATTTAATTTTGATTTCCATAATAGGCAAAGAGGAAGATGCAAACGAGATCTAAAAAAGAGTTGTTTTAGAATGTTATTGGATGTACTAAAACCAAGTATGCACAGAGCAAAAGCCCGCAGAATCATAAACTGAGAAACGACACGCTGCTGCGTCATTACTGGTTCTTTGTCGTGGTGGGGGGCTTGAGATTTGGTCTACACAGGCCTTATGAGGATAAGCTATCCTGTAATAGTAGTGTGTATTATCCTTGATCCAGATCATGGTGGTTTGGTCCAAGGAGAATTCGCAATCTATAGCTGGGTTCGGCTATTCAACGCGGAGTTGGAGTGGAGTGAACAGAGCTAATGGAGTCACACCTAAAGCCTAGTACTCATAACTGCGAAATCCGCACTTTTTTGACATTGCTTTGACAAATTGACGTTTTATGCGTGAATCAAACGTCAAATTTTCGAAGCAATGTCAAAAAAGTGCGAATTTCGCAGTTATGAGTACTAGGCTTTATACGGTAAAAAGCAATACCCGAATCTTAACCCGAACGGCTGGAGTGCGAATGGAGTCACTCGGAGTGAGGAAGCCGAACCCATCTTAAGGAGCGCTTATCGGCCTCGTTTAGGGTAATCGCCGCCATATTGGTGTGCCACCATTGCGACGTCATAACTCGTCAGATGTTTAAACAGCCTACGAAAATGCTACTTACGTCACAACTGGTATTTTGACATGGTGGCAAAGGGGGAGATTTGTTACACACAGGCCTTATGAGGATAGGCTATTCTGTAGTAGTAGCGTGTATCATCCTGGGTTTGGTCGCCATATTAAAAAATGGCCGCCATGTTGCTAAATTTTTTGTTTGGCTTATCTCCGTACACAGGGCTGCGTTCGAGAACCTGGTTGTTGGTGTGGAAATTATTTCAGGGAGTGGGGGGCGGACACACATCGGTGTGCAAATCTAGCTCTAAGTTTTCGAACAGTGACAATTAAGGTTTGTATAGTTTGTGGTTTGTTTTTTTGATAAAATTGAATCGAATTGACTGCAGTACAGATGATAAGTCTGCTTTCACACAAATCACAAACCACAGCCGCTATCGGGTGCAGAGTGCGAAGCTCCTCTCCTATACCACTTCACACCTGGGACTTTATTCTCGAAACCGAGGAACAGGGTTCTCATGAGAGCGATTGCTCTGTCATTGTCAGTGTTATGGAAATATGAATACGAACGACGAAAACAGAACCTTCGTCCTCATGAGAACGCTGCTCCCCTGTTTCGAGAACAAAGTCCCTGTCATACTCCATGCGTCTTGCATTCGAACACTTGAAACCGAACGGGTCAAACTGTAGCCGGAGTACTTCGGAGGAACTAACTCGGGAGCGCTCAAAGAATGGCACCCGAAAGCAGCTAAGTCAGAGCGTTTTTGATTGGTCCAAATCGCCAGAAAACAGTCTTCTGACTATTTTGAGAGAATAGTACCAAAATGATGAAATGTCAAATTTTTTTATGTTGAAATTTTGCGTCTAAATGATCATTGGGGACCCCCCAAACTCCATACACTATTCTGAGATAAAGCCGAAATCTATGACAAAAGGACGTATAGAAAAATTGATAAAACCGGCCAAAATTGCTTAACACGATTTTATTTATGGAACTATAAAATGCTAGTACTGTTGAAAAAAATTGAAAAGGGAACTTTTATTTTCCATTCCACAATTACTGTATTCCTTTTATACATCGAGTTACACCGAACGAGCTCTTATGAATATTTCGTTGTTTAAATGAATAGAATCTCACCTACGTTCCACTACACTTTACATTTAAACCAAATGAAATATTCTAATATTAACATTACCTAAAAGAGCTTCTTGCACCTACCACAAATTTTTGGCCGGGGGTAAAGGGGGATGCACTATGAGCGAATCGAGTGCACTTTTAAAAAGGAACGTTCAAGCTTTTGACATTAAGCAGTTCCGAGTAGCTCGACGGGTAAAAGGAATACAGTAAATGGTGATTCGTTCACTTCGTTCGGCATGGAAGGGTATGGTACAAAACTTGGCAATAAAAATATTCAAAACGGAAAAAGATTTACCATTTAATTTAAATTTAAGAACGATTATTCGACTGAATTTCAGAAATTTAAAACCAAATTTACCACCAGTATGAAAAGAAAACCTTTGCGAGATGGTACGTGTAGAGAAAAAATTAGAAAGTTTGGTAACATTTTCAAACATAGATTAAATAGGTATATGTAGAACCTACACCTACCACTACAGAATAGCCTATCCTCTAAGGCCTGTGTGGAACATATCTGAAGCCCCCCACCACGTCAAATCACCAGTTGTGACGTAGCCGCATGTCGTTTCTTGCCTTGACGTAAGATGTGTGCACTACAGGTTATGATTTCGCGGGTCTTTGCTTTATGCATAGTGGCACAGCCTCCTATATTTAACAAGCCATGAAGTTAAAAAGGCATCACCACAATCTTACCGCCAAGTGGTGCTGGTGGTGTTTGTTTGTATAAATATATATTTTTTATTTCATTAATATGAATCACAAAAAATGCATAATTTATTGTACTAAAGGGCCAAAAACAGTAATTCAATGAATAATTTAACTATTTGTGTAAATAAGAACAGTAAATAATTGATTTAAATGAATATATTTCTAGATTCTAAAGTGTTATAGGCCTATGTTTCAGTATGTCTTTCGAAAATCTAACTTTTTCTTTCTTCGGGATTTTTTCGGAAGGCAAGTCCATTCAAATACTCGAGCTGATTTTCGAAGATAAGAGGTACCTACTTTTAACAGTTGGACGTTTTAGTTTGAACTCTCAAACTACGCCTTTATCCTTGTTTGTTTCAAATCTAATTATTTCGGTTTCTTCAAAATGTTTACAACACACCACAGAATTTTTCGTTATTGTATAATCTCGGGTATAATTATCTTGGTGTATTGCTTTCATCCACATTTTTTGCAATTCAGAATTTTTTTTGGAAATAAAAATGTTTGCATTTCTTCAGTTTTCAAGGAACTCTTAATAATAGTTCGATTTGCACCCAGGAACACAGTAGTTTCATGGCATCTGGAACAAGTTTAAATATCTTAGGTAATATATCGAGACCTATGCTCTTGCAGACAAATATTAATATTGTTTTTCTTGTTTTACCTTACCTTACCTTCATTTTTGCTCCTGTACCCATTTGCTAAAAATTTGCAATCAAAGCACAAAGGAACAGGTTATCAACTAAATATGAGCAATATATTGGTGTGTTTCTATCCACTTTTTCGTCAATAATGCCCATAAAAATACTAAATTGCAACAATACACAATGAAAGCAATACACAGAACAGAAACACATAATCCAATAACAAAATAGCACCATACGCGACGTTGCCGTCATTTCCAACTTCATGGCTTGTAGTGTAGGAGGCTGTGATAGTTGGTTTTACTACACTAATGGCCGTTTGCACCGACCATTTTAAGGCAGCTTTAGCGATAAGTATTCCTCAAAATGACATTTTCACATATAGGAATACTTATCGCTAAGGCTTCCTCAAAATGGTCGGTGCAAACGGCCATAATTAACAGTCTAAAACAACTTTTTTTTTTAGATCTCGTTTTCCTCTTCCCCTTTGCCTATTACCTATGTTAATCAAAATTAAAACATAATTTTCTTCATAAATTTAAATTCTAAACTACGACCGCTAGTGCAAACAGCTGACGACTTAGTTATGACGTCGGAAATGGTGATACACCAATAATGGCGGCGATTACCAAAAACGAGGGCGATAAGCAATCCTTAGTAGTATAGTGTGTATTATCCTTGCACATATTATATGTTTATGTTATTAATTACCTATTTTTAATATGTTACTCAGTATAATATAAGTATTTGTTTACTGTAATAATTATTAAAAAATATAGGTATAGGTATAGTTCGAACGCCATAAAGCACTTAGCATTTACTAAATCACCATTGGCCAAATAAATGTTTCATGGTTAATAAGTTTCTCTGTTTGTCAAAAAACACAAGGTTGTATGTATGATTTTGTGCAATAATGATTTAATTTTTGCATTTCTAAATATCAAAATATAAGTCAAACAAGGCTGCAATAGTGTGTTTCATTTTTTACTGTCTCTACCTACTTCTTAATTATTACTCAATAATTCAATAAGTACTATAGTAAATGATAATGATAATGAGGACATTTAAAGTAAGTACTTATTTCACAAAGCCAAATGGTGATACCTACTTTAGATATTCATGATCATAATCCATAAAAATACTGCAAGTTTCACATCTTTTGCATGCATTTACATAGTAAACGCGCCAATAAAGGACTGCAGCTGACGTCACAGCTTTGGCGGACAGATTTAGCCGATTCGGAAATCCTGTAGAGTTTACAAAAGACTTGAAAAAGACCGCAAAAACAAATTTTTGAAAACAAAGTTTAATATTTAATTAATAACATGCCATTTGCCATTTAAGAGGGCGCCAAATCCTTGTTCTTTTAACGATTTTAACGACTTCTTGGTCAAAATTGGGCATGGGCCCCCTCCCAAAATTTTCTGGCTTCGCCGGCCAATACTACGGCGGCGGGCATGGTTTGCCTCTCCCCAATACATTTTTCTGGGTACGCCACTGTTACTACAAAAAAACATGAACTCGTATGTTGTCAGTTGATTATTATTTGATAGTTTTAAATTATCAAAATGATGGAAATGCGTTTTGTATGATTTCTGACTCTTACAAGTTTCTGAAGCTTTGTCCTTTACTATAATTGATCATTTTCTTTTCCAAATAATAATAATAATGCACTACAAATTATGATTCTGGTTTTTTGAAATGCATCCAGTAATTTGTACACCAACACTCCAATTGAATGGATAGTTCATAGCACATGATCTGCCTAACTACGTTGCACTCGTTGATAGTAAAAATGTGCAATATTTTAACAAAAAAAAACATACATAATATTAATTAGTATAATAAACATAGTATTTTTTACTCTTTTATTGCGGTCTTGTTATTTCACCCACCCATTTTTTGATTTTATAGTCTTCTACAGCACATAGATCTATAGTTTTAGGACAAGGCTAAATATGGTAAAATCTTACCATTCTGATACTGTATTATTCAATTTATAAATCAAAATTTCAACCCAAAATACAATATCTTTACCTCAGAGGTAAACTGTATTAAGTCACTTTTTTTCGAAAATGGGTTTTTAGCTGAATACTACTTCTAATTACTTGACCTCTGAAAAAAAATTCATACACCTAGCTTTAAGGACAACCGAAATACCCAGTTGGAACCTGTATCAAGTCACTCACCAAGCTCAAAGGTAAATTGTACTAAAATAACTTAGTATATTATACCTCGCAAATTTTTCTCCAGAAGAACGTACTTAATATAAAATCCCTCCGAAATTTTCAGTGGGCAGTGGTTCTTAGTAGAATTAACATGGTCTTTATTGTTGTTTTGATTGTTATTATTACTATTGGTGAAATTCCAATAGAAATAATTATTGAAATTTGAAAATGTTATGAAATTATACCTCACTCACTAAGATAATATCATTGTACAATGATAATATAGAAGATGGATAAAACTTTGGTATAAGATAAATTGAATGCACCTTATCGTCATAAAAACCAGAACTTCCACTATGAGGCGGGGAATAAATAAAATACTTCGGCATCACTCATTCATCTTCATAAAAATGTTAATTTTTTTTTTGCATTTCATAATCAAGAATATTTGAAAAATCTTTTTTTAATCCCAATTTTTTCACATCATTTATTGTCTATTACCCAATAATTCTAAAAAACCTTTGTCTTGAAACAGGGTTTCCATTGGGCGACATCAAAATTGTCCTAATTTACTACAGGTAAACTATGTTGTCACTAAAATATGTTTTAAGTCGCATGTCATTATCAACTTCACTAGTGGTAAAGTATGTTAAGTCACTAAAACTAATTAGTACTGGCATTTTTTCTAAATCAAATAATAATTCTTATTACGTCACTAAGACATAATTCCATAAGCGAAATATCAGATCACTAAATTATAGGGTGTCAAAGAGATACCTAATTTACGGGATTTACAATTGTTTTTTCACTCTCCTGAAAAATTATAATATTATGACTTAATACACTTTACTTCTGAGGTACAGAACGTTGCCTGACACAACAAAGGTTTATTGCAAAATTACTTAAAAAGTTATTTGTCAATTTTTCTCATGCCTATGCAAAGGTACCTATGTGTTTCTGGCAACAGGGAAAAATTACTTTAATTCATCAAATTCCAGTTTTGATTACAAAAAAAGTTTTAATTTTGAATAACCTATTTTACAAATAGTTGATAACAAAACATTTAGCTTTGTCAATAATTATAATATCATGGACTATCTCTATTCGAATTATATTATAAAGTTAATAATTAAAATATATACAATTGCATAATAAACAGCAATAATCTCTTACTTAAAATCCAAAATTTAATTTTATCACACTCAGAATAGATTCTGTAAATTTCTTAATTCAAATTAAAATAATATAATTTCATACTGTTTAGAATTGTTTTTGTCCTTTACGTCCAAAGAATATTTGTCTGCAATGAGCGATAATAACTGAAAATAAATTTATATTAAAATTTGCCTATTTGTGTTTGGCACATGAGTCAATCTTTTGATACTTCTTTTTTGAGATTCAAATATCGGTTATTGAGATTATAATTTTACTAAAAACTGAGCAAGAGCTTAACTTAACGTAGATTAGGAATGAAAGTAGGTTACCTAAATAATTCTAGTCCTAACTTTGGTTAAACACATTAATTATTTTTATGGTTTCTAGATTTAACATTTGAAACAGATCATTAAAGAAATTTTTGTCTTTTCTGTAAGCAGCACATAAATATCATCCATTACCAAAATAAACTGCTTTCAAAAATAGTGTAATTAGGATTTTGATGATTTTTGAAGCTGGAAAAGTGAAACTTCACTTTCAATCTTCAAAAGCAGTTTAATTATCAAATATACAGTATGTAAGCCTCTCGTAGCACAGAAGGTGGCTGCATTTACCTTATCAAGGATTTTTCATTTGAAATGGCGCGACTTTTTGAAAAATTTCCGATTTTTTCAGTCACCTCATTGTGGGTGGTAAGTATATGTGCAGCCTCCTTATGAATTTAAATATAATTTGAGTAATTACTTCATCAGACATTTAAAAATTAAATATCATAACTTGAATACCTAAATTAATGAAACTAACAAACTTTTCAAACTATGCTCTGCATGTTCAGTCGTTTATCAAAACAATTGTGATCATTTAATTGTAGAAGCGTACAAGGGTCCAGTCTAAAAAGCTTGTGTGTTTCTTTGCCAATAAAATTAAACTACAAGACCAACATACTGTATAGTTATTGATTGTCACACATATTTCCAAGGCTTTTGAGGCTATTTCCTAGACAAAAAATTACAACAAACAAACTTAGCTAAATTACACTTGAAATTACTTGTTACTTACAGCCAAGTGTACAGAGTTGAAGTAACCACGCCCAAGACCTTCCAGGTTAATAATTTGCAGCGGACAAAAAATAAGCCCAAGAACCAACATTGTATATTTTTTCCTAGCTTCGAAAATTTCTAAGAGAGTACGCACTTTCTATTGAAATTTTATTCAGGCTCCTACTCTGGTTTGTTTTTGATCTTTGATAATTTGAAGGGCTAGAAAGCCTAAGAGGGAGCCAAAATTAAAGTAACCAGTGAAATGCCACTTTTAAGGCACATTTTGATGTTTAACAGGCGTGGCTTTTTATACCTCTGTAAACTCGCCTGCATGGTCAACCTCATACAGAGTATTTATTCATAAACCTACAAAAAATTAGTAATTCAATAAAATCACTTAAGCTGTTATCCGACAGGATCATGAAGCTGTAAAAAAAGGAGGTTTTTTTTCTTATTTCACTGGTTACCAAGATGGCAAATAAGAGTATACCTATTTTTGTTGAGCAATGGCAGTGATTTTTCAAAAAAAACTTAATTCAGAGTAATAATTGGCCATCAAATAACAACTTTTACTTTTAGATCGTTAAATTTAAATCTCTTAACTAAACTTACAAAACGAAACATATATTGAAGACAATACAAACATTTAAAATGGCAGGACGTCATATTTACAAATATACCCCACGTTTCAACTAGCCCACCTGGATTTTTGCAATTCTATTTGACCCTCCAATGTTTTTGATAAATAGATGACAAATAGTTGGGATAGAGCGACTCCCAGAGCTATGCCTGCTATGGTGTATAAGTTTCCTTCTGCCCAGGTCCGCACAATTTCTATACAGCCAGAGGTCCAAACTTTTTTGCTAGCTTCAGCAACCTAAAACGAAATTATATTCATATAAAAATAGACAAAAGGAAAATAATTGAATATTACCGATAAAGTCTGTACTCCATATCCACACATTATATTAACTAAGCGCGAACTTAAATCTGTAGCATTGATGCAGCATGAAAAGGGAACTCCGCAGTGTTCTACGCTGGGCGACGTACAATTGAAATATTCATTCTTCGACCAATCCATGTAGCCTTCTGAGCTCAACCCACAACATTTGAACTAGTAAAAATATGTACCTACATCAATTTAGAAATAAAACATATTGACCAAGTATATATAATATACACTGTGGCTTTAATTTAAAAAAGGGCCAAGATCTTGGAATCCTAATAGGTTCATATCTTAAATACTAGGATTCCTAATACTTAATAATAATTATTATATATCTATTATTGTGAGCAATAGTATCCACTAAGCTCAAGTTATATGGGGGTAATAATTGTACTTTTTAGATTTTGCTTTACTTCGAGTTTAAGTTTTATCCTGCTATCATATAGCTACTTAATGAAACCCATAATTAATAAAAAAGGTAAGAGTCGCGGCAAGAATAGGAAAAAGTTTAATTTAAAAATGTACCTATAGTGGATTCTTAGAAATATGTACAATAATATGCGCTAAATTTAAGACACGCTAAATGAAGATGTACCTTTTTGAATACCTGAGTATCTACAACTATAATGATCAATTACTAGTATTACTTACTTCTTGTTGGGCAAAATCTATAAAATTTTGCAAATCTGGATCATCACGATAGGTATGAATAATTTTATCAGTAAAGTTTTCTTCTAAAACCGACTGCATGGAATGTGGAAATACAAATCCCAAGATTGCAATACCCATTTCCACCAGAAAGAAGATCAACAGGCATAGTGAATACTATAGAAAAATTAGATTAATTAAATTTAAAATTCCTTTGCGCCAATCAAACTTACAAATTTGAGCAAACAAGTGTTTTCCCTAAGTGCTCCTACACAACCAGCAAAGCTGACTATAAATACTACTCCACCCATTATGACCATAACTAAAGATACATTCAGTATGACATCATATACATTTTCCAACTTGACCCATCCAGTTAACTGCCATTTGTCCACAAAGGCATAAAGGCCTATGCCAATTAAGAGACCACCAAATAACTGAAACAGTACGAAATAGCTACCTAAGTATTTTGTTGATTCTAGTCTGTCAAAGACCCGAAAAATTTTTCGAGGCTTGTTCATTGAATGTGCACTAAAAATCGTGATGAAATAAATTCCAGTAAGATATTGACAGGATTATACATTTGCATAGACATAGTTACAGTCTTAGTCTTAATCATAATCTCAATTTTAGACTTCAGACTATAAAAAATCATAATAATAATAATAATAATAACAAACTTTATTTCAAAATCATCATTACAAGTGCAACAATGAAAGAAATGACGTCATACATACAAGTACATAGGTATAGGTACATTAAGTTAAAGGTCTCTACAAAATTTTCTTAAATTATATGGTTCTAGGTCAACTAACAGTTTTTTGATTTCTCGTTTGAATATTTTTTGGGATTTTATTTTTTTCATATTTTCTGGCAGAGCATTGAACAATTTTAGGCACATATAATGAGGACATTTTTCTGTTAATGTAAGCCTATGTAATAGGTAGCTAACATCCAAGGATCGCGTGTTGTAGTTACATTGTTGGCCAATATCAAAACTGTCTTTGTATTTAAAAAAGAATAATCATAGTTATAAAAATTATTTTTTTTTGGATCCAGTATTTACTATCTCAAAGTCCAATATGCTCAATACTGTTAGTTAGAATAATAATTGTACCTGAAAGAAAAGTACCAAAATTCTTCAAGAGCAAGACATAGAATGAAGTCTTATGTCCATCAACTTAGCGAGAGAACTTCGGAAAAACGAATTTTTACTATACCAAGAATGTGCCACTTATTTGCTGATAATTAAGGGAAGGTATTTTAAAACTTTTTTAACAAATAACTAAGAGTTAACTTCTGGAATGACTTTGAGATTTGACGTGTAACTTCATTCCAGAAGTTGACTTTTTAGTGATCTCCTCTCACTAACTTGACGTCCACTTGGCAAAACATGTTTTTTTTTGAAAAAGAAACGAGCCGCAAATTTTCAGCTGTGTGGAAATTGATGCACTTTAGATCTTTGCTGTTTAATTTTAAGCTTGGCGTCATGCTGTGGCAACAAACAATCAAAACTTAAACACAACGAACAAACAAGACAAAGAAGGTGAAAAATTAGGCAATCAATGGAAAAAGGGAAAAGAAATGGCATTTTGCCGTGCCACTTTATTTGAATATATTATGTGGAAGTTTGATGATAACAATTCTTTGAATTGTTAAGAGCCACCCAAGATCAATTCAAATATCATTTATTAAATTTTGAAAAATATACAAACAGAGGATAGTCAAAATCAGTGACCAAATATCCAGATAGACAGAATCATAAACAAAAATCTATGCTGACAAAGATCAGATTTTGTGAATATTTTTATAATTTTTTTTTCTTTTTTCAACACAGGTATCAGGTCGCACTCTTCAATTCAATTTGGCAACACTTCAATAAATCGTAACTCTGCCCGTCATAGTAGTCCAGTATTGCCCAGATTATTGAATTGTCTTTATCTTGAGATATGATGATCAATGAACGGTAAACAAAGACCGACATAAGATCTTTTATGTCATATGAGATCTTCTATGTCATGTCATGTCATCTGAGATCTTTTGTCATATAAGATTTTTTATATTATGGGAGAAGATCTTTTATATCATCATATAGTCATATAGGTAATATCGAGGATAATATCTTTTTTGTCACATAAGATCTGTTCCTGTCAATCCTGTATTCAGTGGGAAACAGGAACATAATACATTTCAAAAAATATGTGGTGTGATTGGAAATTTAGTTATTTTTATCATCCAAGGATGTGCTTGGGAAGCGCCACATCTCGCACATTTTCTTACCAATTAACAATGTCCTGCTTAACACAACAAAGGCAATTTCATGATGAATGAGGTGCTCTGTCTGGTGATATTTAGGTTAGAAATTTTCAACTAACAAACTTTGCGCTACGTTTAAAGACTATATTTCTGATTATGATTGTTCAAATGTTGTATAAATCCGGCATTAATCATCAAAAAGTTAACTTACCCAGAAAATAAAATTTAATAAAAATATCAGATACTTCACACAAGGGCTCACATAGGTGAAATTACTGGAGGGCTGTCGCCTGTAATCTCTTCGGTGATAATTCGTGGACATTTTCTCCCTTCAAAATACAATTATTCAAAGGAAGTTCTTATCAGCGGACAATTTCTCATTAAAGTTCACTGCCCTATTTGCTGCTGACTGCTGGTGCTAGCCTATGGCCAGTAGCTGAAATATAATGTTTCATGAATTGGCCTGAGAGAAGATTGTGTTTTTAAAGGATTGCTTCAAACTTACAGAAATTAAAAAGGTAATTAAGTAATGATTCTCATTTGTGTTGGCCTGTTGTTGGCCAACGTCAACAATGAAAATAGTAGTTTGATTACAAATTACAAAACACAACACACCTTTGACATTTTTATTGTGTTGGTAGGCAATAGGCAACCCAATTTGCAACCACGAATTGGTCGACACCTATTATTTTGACCGAGAACTACTCTAGGGGTGATCGCAACCTACCCAAATCTCAACAGAACAGTGTCGAAATGTTAAATTATGTCTAAATATTCTATAGAGCATTTTAGAGAAAATTAGCTGCTTTTTTTCTGCACACTGTCTTATCTTAGCTAACTTTGAAAATCTTAGCTCTTAGCTGAGCTAAGTTGTAGTTCAAACGTACACATTAGTTGGACGAAGAATCTGATCTTAAATAAACATAACCTCAGGTAAGAAATTGAACTTAGGATGGAATCCGGCATCCTTGGAGTAGGCAAGGGGGGAGGTAATTTCGACGGACATAAACTTTCCTAAGATGTTAGAAAAAACGGTCCTTTATTTCAGAAAAACTTAGGTTAGCTAAGATAGGTGTTAGAAAAAAAGCAGCTATATTATACTTCTTGGCTGTAAGCTTCAGTGTCAAAACGGTAAAAGCTAGGGTTGCCAACTTTTGAAATTGGTTCACCAGGGCTGCGTTCAGGAATGGCTACAGCCAAGCCAAAATTAGCATTTTGCGTTCGAGTTCGGCTCCGACCTACGTGGTTCGGCATTACCGGCGGAGGGGGAAAAGTAGGTTTTGGCATTAGCATTGCCGTCTTTGAACGCACCCCCGCAGATTTTTCCGCGACTAAAATAAAAATGGCGTTTCCCAAATGCTGAGTTCTGAGTTGCACTCCCCACGGAACGGAACGGTATGAGCATGGATATCATGACTTCATACGCGGTCATAAGCCCAACATAAAAGAAAACACTCCTGAGCTTAAACGAAGAGCATCTTATCGTTTCGAGCGAGCTCAGAGTTTAAAGAATGTTCGCTTAATTCTCACTTGCGCGACATTCGCTCTTTTTTGACATGGCTTCGAAAATTTGACGTTTGATACACGCATAAAACGTCAAATTGTCGAAGCAATGTCAAAAAAAGAGCGAATTCCGCGCAAAAAGAGCGAATTTCGCCCAAGTGAGAATGAGGCATAAGCCGAACTCAGCCAAAAATACTTTAATTGAAACGGCAAAAAAAAAAAACTAAAAACAAAATATTTCATTCCAATTACAATATAGTAAATACTTATTAAAATCTATACCTACACCATACTACACCACAATAGTTCTATTCCTTTCAAGAGTTTAGAACACTAGAGCTACTCGCTCAGGTGTTTCTTCATTCTCAGTCGCGCGAAAATGGCTCTTTTTTTCACATGCTTCGACAATTTGACGTTTTATGCGTGTATCAAACGTCAAATTGTCGAAACAATGACCAATGTCAAAAAAGAGCGAATTTCGCGCAAGTGAGAATGAGGCATTAGTCGACCCCGATCTGAAAGGAACAGATGCGCTGGCTTTCGTGCATTTAAAGCCGCTTTCCAGCTGACGCTTTTGAGCACGCAATCGAGCTTTTGCGCGCGCAAATGCTTCAAGCGCGTTTTCGTGTTCCAGCCGTACTGCGCTTCGAGAGCCTGCTAACTTTTGCGTTTCAAACACAGAACATTGTGCTGCACCGTGCTTGAAGCTTGAAGCACACAGCTGGAAAGCGGCTTAAATGGTTCGATTCGAGCTTGAGCACTCAGGTGCAATAAACACTTTTATTATGCCTGTATGCACCATTTTCAGGTATTTTCGTAATTAGCTAATCAGGGCTAATTATGTAATCACGGTTAAAAAGTCGATTCGATGTACCAAAGGATTTTGCATTTGCCTGGTAAGCCTAAGGGCGGGTATTATAAAACTGCTTTGACAGTTAACTTGCAGTTAACTTTTTGAAATTACATGTAATTCCAAAAGTTAACTTTAAGTTAACTCTCAAAATAGTTTTATAATACCCGCTCTAGAACTATACACAAAAAAATATCTAGTTTCTGCCCGACTAAAGCCTAGTACTCATAACTGCGAAATTCGCATTTTTTTGACATTGCGTTGACAATTTGACGTTTTATGCGTGTATCAAACGTCAATTTAACGAAGCAATGTCAAAAAAATGCGAATTTCGCAGTTATGAGTACTAGGCTTAAGGGCGGGTATTATAAAACTACTTTGAGAGTTAACTTAAAGTTAACTTCTGAAAATACATGTAATTCAAAAAGTTAACTTCAAGTTAACTGTCGAAGCAGTTTTATAATACCCGCCCTTAGGGTGGGTATTATAAAAGGCCTGTTCGCACAGCAATCACAAACCAGTCAGAGCGCATTTCATTGGTTGAAAACAATCAGAAACAGTCAGAAAACTAGTTTCAACCAATGAGATTCACTCTGACTGGTTTGTGATTTCTCTGCGAACAGACCTAAAACTATCCAGGTACCTAGTCAACAAATATTTTAAAAAATAATCAAAATCAAACGTGCAAGCAAAACTAGAAGCAAAATAACCAAGACACGCATCAAAAACACATATTCAAATTAAACTTGTTTGACCTCTACGCCATATTGAATTAAATTTACATTGCGCAATTCAAGGTTAAACTGTGTTGTTAGGTCTTTACCATGCCGGCATGTCATTCAAGTAACATGAATTTTTCAGGAAACATGTTTTATGTTTGTATCTTCAGCCGTTTTCTTGCGTCCACTTGCTTATGAACTTCAGGTGCAACAAACACTTTTCGAAAGCAATAAGCGCGTAACGGCCCAGAGCTGTTCCGGAGCTTCTTCTAGGTGTGGAAGGAATATGTTGCCGAATCTCTAGAATTGAATATCGGTTGGAACGGTTTTAGGAATCTAAGGTTTCCAGCGCTTTTTTAACCATTTCGGTTTTGCCTTACGTATTATCGTATCTCACTCTTTGCTTGGTCGGTGTGGTGTTTCCGCAGATTCGAACAGTTCCTTCTTCCCTTGCGTTCGATATTTTGCTTGAAGAGCAGAGCGTGCTGAGCAGAGCCGTAATCACGTGACCAGCGAGCGAACAGAGCAGTTGAACGCTGTGTCAGCGTAGTGGTTAGAGTTTCAGAAATTTGAATAAACGAATGCGAATGAGCCTGCACCGAATACACTTTTCGAATAAACGAACGGTAAATTCAAGCTCGGAGAGCTCAGATCAAAATACCGAACGTACAGTTCTTAGAGAGAACCGAAATAACTGTACCGATAACGTTCGAGAACCTGTTCCAAACATGTTTCAACACGTCATAAACTGACCCATGAACTACTACTACAGGATAGCCTATCCTCATTAGGCGTGTGGGTGGGACGAAGCGGTGCGCCCGTTCCAGAGTGTTTGTTCAGTTCAATGCCGACGACTTAGTTTATGACGTCGGCAATGGTGATTCACCAATATGCCGGCGATTACCAAAAACGAGGCCGATTAGCAATCCTTAGTAGTGTGTATCATCCTTCTGAACATCCAACCGATGAATCATGAACGGTTTCGAAACTACTCTTGTATCTTGTATACGAATTTCGAATTCTACGCACAAATGTTAGGTTTTGCGCAGAATCGTGACTCATTATACAGTTTTGGAACAAAGCTAAGGACAGCTGCCAATGCCAAGAAATCAAGAAAAGAAGGTAAACAAAAGTGTAAATTGTAAATGAAAAAAATGGAATTTGTTGAATAGAACACTTTTTTATTGTGAAATTCACAAGGAAAATCAAATCATGAACGTCTTGTCCTGCAAACTTTGTGTCTTCACTATATTGATACTCTTGAAGAGTGCCTTTGCCAGTAACATCACGCATTTGGTGTTTGGAAGCTACACCGATGGAATGCCTGCAGCCTTTGGAGATTTCAACTCTGACGAACTTACTGACGTGTTTGTGATTTTAGGTGAGAGATAATTAGAAACAGTGATAAGCTATAAGTACAACAATACAATAGTGAATTCCATTGTGGTGCCCTTCTCGAGGCCCTTCTTAGTACAGTCATCAGCTGCATATCCATAAGCATTGACTAAGCTATGCTTCTAAAAATCCGACAATGAGACTTATCCATAAAAACCCAAGGGAATAACTCAAGCACAGCTTTGTGGGCATCAAAACTACTTGGATTGTATATAGAGGATAGGGTTCCAGATAAAAATGGTTTTTGGAGATAAATGAGATCTAAAAAGGAATTCAAAGATTTTCCCAGATTTATCACATTTAACGAAAAGAAAGCCAATGCACTTGCGGAAACTGTAGAGCTTTTTAAAAAATATTTTAGCTCCTTATATAAAGAATATAGCGATTTAAACAATGTGTTGTTACTGTTAATTTAGGTGCATTGTTTATCAATGTCATGGTATACATAATGAGTTCCCAGCTAAACGAAAACTTCGGAACAGGTCCAGGGGTGTGATTTTCGAATGCATTCGAGTACATTTCTTACACGAAATCTGACTGACAGCAATGTAAGTTAAATGGGGACCATTCGAAATCGTATGAAATTTTGTATGCGAAAATATTCGAAAATAGGACTCCAGGTGGTATCCCTATCTGTCATTTAAAAGCATATACACTTGTTTTCTTACATCTTGTGCAAAATCTATAATAAATCATTCTCCACTGGAACCTTTCCAATAATTTGGAAAACTAGTTTTGGAACAAGAATTTTTAAGTGTGGTGACATGAGAACTACAGGCCAGTTTCAAAAATTTCTATATTTTCCAACATTTCCGAGGCAATAGTTACAGATAAAATAACACTTTAAGTATTTAGATTAGATTAGATTTGTTTAAATGGAGATGGCGCGGAGGCGTCCTCTACCACTGCAACCTTGTCAGATTTATTGTGGTATCTCCTATCTGTCCTTAGACTGCGTTCTCTAGACCCATTCTTTTTATAAGACTCCAGAGTCCAGCGCCATGATACCTACTGGCCACCCCATGTAGCTTGCTGGATTGGGCTTTTCCTCTCCAAGCCTCGCAAACCTAAGCCTGCATGGCGCTTCGCAATGGCACCATACATGTACGGCAGTTTCTTTCGGCTCATGGCAGAACCTGCACAGGCCGAGGCACAGGCTATCCTCTGCCACGCTCATTCTTTCCAGAACACTTTATTTAAAAACACATTTAAACCAGAACAACATTGTTTTATAAAAGGCTCAATGAAAGTCAGATCCATAATCTCAAACTTGTTAGAATTTGAGCAGACTCTGTTTGATGCACTGGAGGATGGGTATCAGGTAGACATGTTATTATACCAACTTTTCCAAGGCCTTTGGCAGAGTTGACCATGATATTCTGGAGAAAAAAAAACTTCAGTGTATAGGGTTTCATGGAGCCTTTGGTGGGTAATTGACCACCTTTCAGGAAGAAAACAGTAAACGAGACCGTAAATTTCTTAATTTTGTTGATGACAAGAAAGGTAGGTCTATAAACATCGAAGTCCCATTGTGGGGAAAAAATTTGAGGCCTATATATTAATTAGGTGCTAATTAGTGCCTCTAATTAAAAATAAGGTACTCCTTTAGTTTTAACCTAAAACAAAGAGGCTCAGGTGACCCGGTTAAAATCCAGAGTAATGCTTTATGCGTGCAGTGGCTGTGTAAATTCCGTGAAGTCGCTTGGTAATGATGTTGGCGGCGGCTTGAAAGTGCTAATCAGAAATATCACCAGTGAGGTGTGTGACACACTCTACACCAAACTTGCAACTAATTATAATGATTTAAAGTTGAAACTGGATGGTGTTACTGACACTGTTGGTGAAATCAAAGCCACTCTTTCTTCACTGGAAAAACCAATCACTTCTGCAGTTAATAATCTTTCGGAAATAGACAATACTAGCGTTATCATGCCTAACTCAGTGGCATCTGCTGTTTATGATATGAAGCTAAGGGAACTGGAACAAAGTAACAAAGATTTACAGACAAAGTTACTCAAACTTGAGAATGAGTTCCAGCTGCTTACTGCAACCCTGAATTCTATGAAAACTGCATCAAGCTGCTCAGGTTCTTCGCAAACCCCATCTCAGTTCCCTCCTAATCTGCGGGCGGTACCCATCAGGAATGAATCAAGAAGCTTTCAGTCATCAAATAGCCTGCAACTAGCTGGACAGCAAAAGTCCCAGCGACCAATCCGCAGCATAGAGCGCCAATCAGTGCCTAATCCTGTGAGAGTATCGGACCGCTCAAGTAATAATCCTGTATTAATTGGCACAGGTGCTGATGGAGGTCTTTTTTTCTGCAGGTGAGAGACGCCAGTGGCTATATCTGGGTCGATGTGATCCGAGTACCACTGAGGAACAGATCTCTAACTATTTGAAGAATCAGCTCTCCATTCCTGATGTCAAATGCTTGGTGTTGGACAAAAATGAAGATGTGGTTTCATTTAAAATTGGGGTTAAAGAATCACTTTTGAAGGGCCTGCTGGATGCTAACCTCTGGCCAGTAGGCATTGCTGTCAAGGAGTTTCATCCTCGTCGTATGGGGGCAAAACCGTCCAATGCAAATTTTCAGAGAGGAGACAGAGAGGACCAGTCTCGTTAGATTGTGCTTCCTTTCTCTACCAAAATGTAAGAGGCTTAAAAACCAAACTCAAAGATGCTTTCTGTGCGGCTCGCGCCGAATCTTTCTCAGTTATTGCACTTACGGAAACCTGGCTAGACTGTAGTATCTGTGATGCCGAATTTCTTGACTCGCGTTACACGGTTTATCGCTCTGATAGAAGCAGTCTGAACAGTACTAAAAGCCGTGGAGGTGGGGTCCTTTTGGCAGTAAATAATTGCCTAAAATCTCATCGCCTGTCAATTGGTGAAGCATCGGTCGAGGAAACGTGGGTGTCTGTTACGCTGGGTGACATGGTCTTCTGTATTGGCTGTGTCTACATTCCACCTACCATGGATGTGCTCCATTATGAAAACCATTTGAAATCAGTTGCTGGTGCCTGTGAAATGTTTGATAATGTGCTTGTTCTTGGAGATTATAATCTTTCCCAAATAACGTGGTCCACTAGTGAGGATCTCTCAGGTTTATTACCTGGAAATGTAAGGACAACTAAGGAAATATTGTTATGTGATAGTACTGCTTCTCTTAATCTGTCTCAATACAATGGGGTGGCTAACGATCATGGTTCAATCCTGGATCTATGTTTTGCCAACTTTGGGCCTATTTCACTTGTAACATCTGACGGTCTGGTGGGATGTGATCGTTATCACCCAGCTCTAGAGTTTTCCATACCTGTTGTTAAAGCTAAATTTCTGAAGCCTCTTAATTATTTTTCTTATGACTTTAAAAATGCCAATTTTGATTTGGTTAATGAATATTTTCTTTCCTTTGATTGGCGATCCATTATGATGGACGATCTAAACGAAACTGTTAAGAGCTTTTACTTGGTACTGTTCGACTGCTTTAATATGTTTGTTCCAATAAAGGCACATTCTTACAGCGAGAAATTTCCTATCTGGTTCTCTAACAAATTGAAAAATCTGATTTTTCAAAAGAAAATTGCTCACAGACGATTCAAGCGGTCGAATAGAGGTTTGGATTACTTTGCATTTAGTACACTTCGGCGAGATTGTAAAAACCTCACCAAAGAGTGCTATAAATTATACATAAGTGATACTGAAAGAGCCATAGGCACCAATATGAAAATTTTTTGGAACTTTATTCACTCCCAATCTAATCAGGGTACTATTCCTAACGAAATGTTTCTTGCCTCAGAAAAGGTGTCCAACGGTGTTGACATAGCTAATCTTTTTGCTGTCTATTTCTCCTCCGTCTATAACCCTCAGAGAAATTCCGACGCTGGAACCTTTGCTGATCGACTTGAGAATGTTTCAAGCATTGTCATAGATCCAACAGATATTGAGAGGGCTTTAACGCAATTGGACATCAACAAGTCTGCAGGACCTGATGGTATTCCCAACAAAGTACTAAAATCTTGTTCTAACACTTTGTATCTTCCTCTGTTTAATATTTTCAACAAATCATTATCTTCTGGAATTTTTCCAGAAATGTGGAAGCTCTCCTACGTTTGTCCTATTTACAAGTCAGGCAGCAAAAATGATGTAATAAATTACAGACCCATCAGCATTCTGTCTGCGATTCCAAAATTATTTGAGCAGTGCGTGGAAGGAATTCTTTCAAAAATATTTCATCAGATTGTGATCAGTCAACAGCACGGTTTTACAGCCGGTAGATCCGTTGAGACGAACCTGTTTCTCTTTACAACATTCATAAATTCATCATTTGCTAATAATGCAGAAACTCATGCAATATATACTGACTTCAGTAAAGCCTTTGATAAGGTAAATCACAACATCCTTCTTTCAAAGCTTTCAAGTTTCGGCGTTTGTGGACATTTATTTTCATGGATGAAATCATACCTTACTAACAGAATGCAACAAGTCAAGATCGATGGCTATCTTTCTTCTCTTTTCCATGCATCCTCTGGGGTACCCCAAGGTTCTCACTTGGGCCCCCTTCTATTCAGCTTATTTATCAACGATTTAGGATCGTTGCTCTCGTCAAATTTTTTACTTTTTGCTGATGACTTGAAGTTGTATCGTCAGGTGACGTCAACTCAAGACATACTTATTTTGCAAAATGATCTTAACATCGTTCACGATTGGTGTCAGCTTAATTACATGTCCCTCAACATCGATAAGTGCTGTTGTATAAGATTCAGTAGACGCACCCATAGTGTTCCCTTGCAGTATTACTTAAACAATGTTCGCTTGTCTGAAGTTTCTATCATTAAAGATCTTGGTGTCTATCTAGATACTAGGCTAATGTTCACTGAGCATTTTGAAGTGGTAATTGGCAGGGCTAATAAAATGTTGGGGTTTATTAAGAGAGCTACTAGGGACTTTACAAGTATACACCCTATCAAAATTCTTTACACATCACTGGTCAGGTCCGTTCTTGAATTTTCATGCATAGTTTGGTCACCTTACTATCAGATCCACATCAATAGGCTTGAGAGTGTTCAACACAAATTTATTAAGTTTGCAAGGTACAAACTTTCTTTGAGTGGTGTAATTCTCAGTGAGGACCTGACTATGACTTATTTAGACTTATCTACTCTTGTTCGCAGAAGGGAATATTTTGATGTCTGTTTTGCATTTAAAATTCTTAACTACTACATAAAAAGCCACGAATGTCTTGAATGTTTTAATCTACACATTCAAAGTTATCAGACACGAAGTAAATCTTTACTGCACATTCCTTACTGTCGAACCTGGTACCTACTATTCAGTCCTGTGAATAGAATATCTGCCAATGTAAATAAGTTCTGTGAGGGCCTTGAGTTCTTTGGTTTATCTCTGGATAAATTTAAGACGAAGGCCAGGAGTATTGTTTTAGGTTAGATTTTTTTTTTATTTAGATTTAAACTCTGTTCAACTTCAAATGTATTTTTCTTATACGTAAATAAATGAATAAATAAATAAATAAATAAAAAGACAAACTAAGGAACTGCTAGGTTTATGAAATAGCAGTCCGCTAAAGTAAAAGATATTTAAAAAAAAAAAAATGTTTTTCATCAAAATTAGGTGATAGTAATATGGACCTCTCTACTAACTAAAATTAGGAGCTCCTTGAGGAGCTCCTTCAGTTCTTCAGAAAATCAAAAAAAAAACTACAGGACTGCTAAGTTTTTGCTTTTTTCATTTTAATCTTTCCATGTTTCAGCTGCTGTTAATACCTAAACCTTAACACAAAAGCAGTCGTCACCAAATATCTATTTTATTTCAGATAACAACAAAGCTGTTGAAATACTGTTAGCTCATGAGGAAGAGCCGTTGCTAAGGCCAGCTAAGGACCCGTTAAAATGTATTTTTAGCGAATCAACAATAACGAGCGTTGTTCCTGGGGACTTTGATGGGGATGCTCTTATGGATGTTATGGTCACTACAATTTTTAAACGAACAGGTAATAACAAATTGATTGTGAAACAAAGCGTATTTTTCTGCAAAAATCAGATTTTTTACTCTACAGGTGGGTTCTAGGGACAAATAATGCAGGGGATTTAAAATTTCAGGTCTTTCTGCTTTAAGACTGAGTTTAAGACTTTAGGCCGGGCTTTAGGCTATTCAAAATATTTATTGTTTATATTGAGTTTTTGGAGTTTCTCTTTGTGGTATGGAGCAAAAGGTAATTTTGTTTGTAATCAGTGCTCGAATCAGTGTAACCACCCTGGGTCCTTATTCTTGAAACAGGGGGGCAGCGTTCCCAAGAGAACGAGTATTCCGTCTTTCTCAATGATATGCAAATGATAATATAAGAAGGTAACAAAGACAGAACACTTGTTCTCCTGGGAACGCTGCTCCCCTGTTTCAAGAATAAGGACCCTGAACGAATCCACATTCCTGTAGGTGAAAAATTTTAAAAATCCTTTTTTTTTTTTAGAAAAATTTTCCCAGAAAAAAAATGTTTCAGTTATTCCTTCTTAGTCTTTCAATATTGTATTTCCATTCTTTTTACAGAACAAGATTCTCAAAAGCCATCACATACTAATGTATACATTTTATGGGGTGGAGCAAATCACTTGAATTGTACTGATGAACATAATCCAGTAATAAAAATGATTGGGCAACCATTGGCTATGGATTATAACCAGGATATGATAGTAGGTTAGTAACAATTTTACAAATCTTTGCTGCTTTTCAACTTACTTCTCCTATATAGATCTCTTTGGACAAGATATCAACAAAAAAAGAATGTTTTGGGTGTTTAATAAAGAAAGGAAGGGTCCGCGTATAGTCCCCATGGAAGACAATCATAGTAATCGAGGTGAATTGAGTCGGCCACATGCTCATGCATTTTTAGACGTAAATCATGATTACATGGCCGACCTCTTTATCACAACCAATGATCACTTTGAAGTATGGCTAGGCAACGAAAATGGGTCCCAATTTATTTATCAGACCACAATCAATTTACCGGAAAATTCTAAAATTATTGGCCAGTCTCTTTTTATGGATGTTGAGCTAAAAGGCTCAATGGATTTAGTAACACCAGTTTGTGCAGAAAGGGAGAATGGAAATTGTAAAGGAGCTGCACTTATGGTTCATTCAGATGGACAATGGATAAATTTACAAGTTAATTTCAAAGATGATGCTGGAAATCTTTGGAGATTTTATCTTAAAGAAGGTAGGTGATAATTTTTTTTTTTTTTGTAAATTATTGTCATCATACCTTTTTTTTATTAGGTAGCAGATATACAAATGTAATTACCCTGAGGAGTGGAGATTTCAACATGGATGGTTACCCTGATATTTTAGCAACCTTATCTCCAGAAAATGATGACCATCCACAATCATTTTTATTGGAAAATGTTGCATGTCAAAGTGGTTGTGGTAAATTCAAGCGGTAAGTGATATTACCTTTAGGGATCACTTAGTTTTCAGTGGCTGCGTGTCTGTCTTTGCCCAGCTAGTTATCAAACATAGTTCACTGAAAAGACTTTTTCTGGTTAAATAGTATCCGAGTAGGTATTTTCAAGAAGTCACTGTTGAGCAAATTGTGCATTGGGAGAAAGTAATTAACAAAAATCAAGGAGCCATGTTTATGGTCCAAATTAATGTATAGGTTGTAGGTTTGAGGGGGGTAGGGTTCTAAAGGATAGTACATAGACATTTAAAGGATTCTCAGTTCAAGAATTATTAAAATTATTTTACATACCATTCAAAAATAAAAAAGTAACAATAGGCTTTGAATTTATGTGAAAAATAGTTATATATCTTATCTTTGCAGAAAGCATTTGACAATGTGAGATTTTGTTGTCATAATTGACTTAATTTACAGAAACCAACAACACAATAGTGACATTAATGCAGCCCTACTGCTTAAATCTAACAAAGCTGTCGTTTGACATAGCATGTCTAACTTTTTTGCTCAGAATGTCCAGTAATACATGAAACATATTTTTTGATAAATTTTTTGTCCAGATCATTCGCAGTCAAATGGAACACTTTAAGTCCATTCCGAAACGGCACAGCAATGGCCGCCTTTTTTGACTTCTACCAGGATGGTATTTTGGATTGTATTCTGGTTACTTATAATGGCAGGCAATATCAAGCTGCTGCATTCAAAAATAGTTTGGATTATGACGCTAACTTTATAAAAGCAATGGTATTGACTGGATTGACTAATAAAGATCATGAAATGATTAACGGCAGACTTGGCAAAAAAAGAAGGACATACGGATCAAATTTGCCAGGTAAGCGTTTGGCTTTTTTACTTTACTAGATTGTGTTGAAAGTGTTATTCATCTTCCTGTACTAGCAGGGTTTCTCAAATTGATACTTAAATTATAAAGCATCATTTTTTTTTCAGGTCCATCAATATCTTACAAAACAACAACCCAAGAAGGCAACTTACGTCACGGCGTATCTCCCCAACTACCCCAATCTGCACATTTCAGTTTGAATCTCCCTTATACAATATTCGGTTTGGGTCGTACTCCCAACTTTGTGGATTATCTCACAGTAGGTCTTTCCAACCATTCTAGATATTGGACACAAATTATACCCAATTCCCAAATGGTAAGTAACTATGTTCTAATTTAATGTACATTAAAGATACATTTTCTTCTTAGGTTGTTATTCCTTGGCCAGTAAACCAATCTTGGAAATGGAAAGCTCAGTTATTTGTAACACCTAGTAAACTTATTCTGATGTCTGTGGCAGCCTTGACTGCTGTTTGTGGTATGATAACTGTGATAATTGGGGTTTTGCATTGGAAAGAACGACAGGAAGATAAGAAAGAGAGGTTGTCAGAGAGTCATAGATTTCATTTTGATGCAATGTAAAAATCAATATTTATTTATTTCCATAATTAAGAAACCACAAGAACATAGTAATCCATTGTATATAGACTTTTTATTAGTTATAAGTTTCCAAAATATTGAATGCTAAGAATTTAGATGTGATACAATAATATTAATAATAAGTACCTATAATGATCATTGTTAAATATTTAAAATAAACTATTTAAAAAACAGTATTCTAAATATTTTACATCCAATAAAACCCTTTATAGACAGTATTTCGTTTTTAAAAGTTGGACAGTTAAAGATGCGGACAGGCAAAACTCATACCCAAAATAGAAAAACGCCTATTTAAAAATGTAGACACCACACTAAATAAAAACTACCACAACTACAATATTAGAATGAGAGAACAAATTAGAAATACTTATGTCAGAACTACGAAAGGCCAGACCTCTTCCAGTACAGATTTATACAAAAATATAGAAGGACAATGCAGTGTATCGTAATCTCAAAAGACTTTTTGATGACAGAAACTGAAAATGTACCTATATAAGAAGTTCTTACTTTCCCAGTAGGTAATTTTTTTTTCAAATATAGTTAGATTTATATTTTCTTTTTCTGTACATAATTATTTTATGTGAAGGCCTTGGTGGTAGAGTTTATACTATACGAAGTCAATCCAATCAGCTAAATAACAGAGTCGCGTACCGGGAATATATAAATATTATCCCGATGAAAATGACCCAATTTTGTGATTACTAAACCCCGTATGAATATTTTCTTGCCCAAACCCAACTACACATTCATGGCCTCTTCCAGTCGGTCAAATATTTTATCCTGTTCCGATTGACTACATAGGTATAAACTATACCAGTTTCGTAACCGATTTAAGATTTGTAATATATCCTTTGAGAAAAAAAGAAATACTAGGTAGGTACATAGTTCTAATTAACTTTTTATTAATATAAAATGTGATCAATGGTTAGCTTTTTCTGCAACTTAGATTCTGTGATTCGTATAGAAATAAACTAAGATTAACATACAATAACTTGAACATAGAAAAAAAAAACAAAACCAAATTTTTGCAGTATAGACACTTGAATCAACCACAACTTGCATCCTCGAAGTTTGGAGTTTTTATGTACCTACTCGATGTATGCAGTTTGGTTTGTGCCATAGGCGGTACCACCAATTTCGTCCATAACTGTAACTACTGGAGATGTTTTGGTCAATCTACAACCGAGGAAAAGGTTTAACCCTTAAAAAGTGTAACTTGTTACCTTGCGAAATAAATCTATCCCTTTAGGCTTTCTGTCCTGATGGCTTCATCTGAGGTGTTGCTCAGCTGCTCTGCTTGAAATTTCTCTTGAACTATTTAAGGAACTCGGGTTTTAGGTTTATGTACCTCAAATTTTTCAGTTAAACTTACCAAAAGTTATGCTGGATTAGTAGCTCTGATACGTACCGTCGACCTTTAGAAATAAATGTAGGTATAATTCCATAAAGAAAAATGTTTGATTGAAATAGTAATTTTCTGTTTTGAATAATCGGTCTTTTTTGAACGATGATTGCAAGAAGGGTTTAGCAATAATTTGTATTTTTTTTCTTGTTAAAATACTGATGATTTTAGAATAAAATGCAATATATCAACTATAATAGATTCCCTTCTATGTATTTTGATTTCCACTCTCAGTTGATTCACTGTCTATGAACGTCCTTACTTATGTAGAAGGGCGAAGGGTGAAACTACTCGGTGGTCTCCAAGCTTACTCATATGGCTCATAAGGCATAGTTGTAGCGACTAACTAGAATGAACTTTAGAAACGATTCTTAAAAAGATCTAATACTTTAACGTCAGGGTTCTATTCTTGCTTTGAGAAGCTGTAATTGAATTGTCGCCAAAATTACAAAGGAACAAAGTGAGCGGGGTTTTAAAACGTTCAGTAATCCTCTGGAATCTACATCATTTATCTTATCATGGATATTATGTAAGTATGTTCATCCCTCGGTTTATCCATAGGAAATTTTATGGCTGAAGTTAGAATGAAGAATGTCTTTAAAAACCCACATTAGGCAAACGCTGATAACATGAACATTGTAAGGATACTGGAGCTCGCTTATTGGTTGATTTGAATCTTATAAAGTCCACAATATTCGAACATAAAAACATACACAAGCAAACCTGGATGTCTAGAGATGAGTTTACAAGAAATCTGATCGACATCTTGGTCATTGATGCAAGACACAACAGTAACATGATGATGTTAGAAGTCTCTGACGACTGAGACTCTGAGACGCCGACATTCAAGTGATCATTCTCATAGACTAAATTCGGACAAAAGTTGAGTCGAAAGATTTTGAAGGCGGACGCGTAGTCATTGAAATAAATGTAAATGCCCTCAAACCCTCAAACATGATACGAGAAAGAATATGTACCTACCAAGAGAGTAAAGCGATAGCGCTGGAGTCTTCACAGGATCATGGAGTAAGTATATGATTGTTTCATTTTAGGAACCAATATGAACAATTAATATATAGTATTGTTACGAAATTGCATCAGTGCCCTGCTGAGAAACTGGCGAGTTTGTTCATGTTCACGAGCAGTTTTCAGGAATTATATTGTGTATTCATCTTAACAACTGATTCTGGAGACTTTCCCATGGTTTGTCAGTCAGTGCCTTTTTCTGGTGAAGTTCAACCATGACCCAGAGAAGAGTTGATTAACAGATTGGGCATTATAAGTCTCGAGGAATATCATGCAGTTTTTTATTTGGTAACTATTTTCCGTGTTCAATGGCTGTTCAGGTTTTATTTTGAATTTGATTCCTGCCAAGAGCAATTTCCCTATCAATAGAGATCAAACTAAAACTTCCAACTGCACCGTTTTTCGTGAAAATTGAAATAAAAAGAAGTTGCCATTTGTCCGAAGGTGCCTCACGCTGGGGCAGTTTTGGACATGCATGGGGTAATTCCGGACATATAGGTACCTACTTTATAAACAGTTTATTTTTTTACATGTATATTTGAAATAATTCAGCATCTATCTAAACATCAAAACTTATAGTCTAAAGGAACTGCAAACATACAAACCTATGAACTTTGGCACTAGCCTACAAAAATAAATAATAGGTACAAAAATAAATAATGACAAAAAAACGTAAATTAAACATGTTTTGATTATTAAAGTAGGTATAATTTTTTTTATTTTAGATCAAAATTTACGTTGAATTTTAAAAATTTAGCCATGCGAGCATTCCCCGCATGAAAAGTTGATAGTCCGAATGTGCCCCACATGTACAAAATGTAAAAACAAAAACTAAAAAAACTGAAAATCAAATCTTGTCGATTCTTGAAATATAGGTTGTGTGGTGTGAAACTATCATATACCTTTAAAACTTAAAAATTACATCACCAAATCGTGCAAAACCTCACGAGTAGAGGACATAATACTTAGTTGGGGTCACTATTTATGTACCTATTTCTGGTGATCACTCCCAAATTTCTCAAGCTACCGGCACAACATTTTGTCTGGCGTTATAGAGCAGGCACTGGTATCAACTGTTAAAATGCGGAAACGCGTTCAGTTTTGGAAGGCGGTAAATTCAAAATGTCCGGAGGTGCCCCATGTCCGAACCTGCCTCACTCTACCCTACCCCTACCCATTGACCCTACCTATGCTGTGTCCAGAACTTGTTTGTGTATCAACGGTATAACATTAAAGCCTAGTTCTCATGATGCGGAATTCCGGATTGCGGGTGCGGAATTTTTGAAATGATTCCGTTGGCGGGAAAACGTCAACTTTTTTGCGGATCCGCAATAAAGTTAAACCATTTTCAACTTTCTTGCGATTTTTTTTTCTGTCTTCGTCTAAACATTTCTCATCTTTGTTTGATTTCTACATAAACAAATAAACTAACCTCAAACAAAAAACAATAAAACAATTAATACCTAACAAAAATAAATTGATCTGCTTGCTTGTGTGCTTGTTTTATTTTCAAATACATATTATTACGGCAAACCCCTTGTTCATGCCTTTTCAGAAGAATAACATCTTCCTTTTTTTAATATTCCTCTGCTATTCTGCTTCTTTGATGAAGTTTCATGCGTATTATGGATTAATAGCAAACCCAATACTAACGTATATTGGGTGGTAGTCTGAATAAAAACGAAGTACTTGCTACTACTACAGGTAATGTCTGCCCAGCGAATCTGTGTCTACGGGGCAACGGTAAGGGGAATGAAGTTGTAAAAAAAAAATGGCTGATTTCATTCATAAAATACCCAGCTGCGTGCGGGAGTTTTTGGAAGTGTTATCGTATTGCAACTCGTACACGAAAATCGACAATGACCAAACCTCCGCCACTGGATATTTCAATATAAATCGATATTCCAAGATGGGAGGATAAAATGACGTAATTCCTGGCCAATAGCGAGATGTTAGGTGACGTTAGCTCATTGACAACCGTATCGTTCCCCATGGCAACGGCGATCCTGCCAAAAACTGCACCAATCAGGTCCATCCAGGCCGGATGCTTGCCAAATTGTCGAAAGCTGATGGTATCTTAAGAAAATGTTTATTTTTTACAATAAACCAAATTGAAGAAATCAGGATTAAAACAAGAATAGATCCAACAGCCACGTTAAAATATTTAGCGTTTTATTATTCTTATCAATATTTTGTTATTAAAAAATGGATTTTCAAATGAACTATACTTCATGCCAAGTATTTTCGCTTTTTTATAATTAAACGTGACAACATGGCACATTTACGTCCGAATTCCTTCCGTAGACTCAGATCCGCTGGGCAAACAATAGTAGTAGGTATATTCCTCAGACTAATAATAAAACTAGAGACCAAACATGCCATTTAGAAATCGCCCCATGTTTACAATCAATCATCTTTTAGTCCCTGACTTGAGTAGGAGAGAGATAGACCTATAAAATGGCAAGACTGTTCAGTGGCGGTGTGTTCAGTTTCCTCTCAATTTTGCCATTCACAATAAATTACCATAAATATCCTATATCTACGCCAATGTCAAGCGTAAAATGATGTCAAATTTCTTACCGCCGAAATATTAAAATGTGCTTGGAATCATTAAAGATAATACATCGATTTACCATTTTAACGTTCTCCACCACACTTTCCACATATTTAAATCCAAAAATACCACTGATTAACACTCATATCACAAAATTTATCTCTATCACTTCACAGCAACAGTGC